ATATATATATATATATATATATTTTGGTCTTTACGCTGGGCTCACGGGATGACATGCTAATGCCATTTGATTTCCATAGGAGAATCTGCGGTCGGAAAGGTTGATATATCCCCGTCTTGATATAACCCGGTTAGTCGCTGATTAGGTTTCCCCCTTCCTCCAGAGTTCGCTCGTGTTGAGATTCGTCAAAGTGAGTGTCAACCGATATCCCTCGCGCTTGGTTGCATGCTAGGATATCTCTTCCCGGAAATGAATCAAGCTCACCACCGCAGGATCAATTCGACGATTACCGAGAATCCACCATTGGCGCCGCCTTCCTTACACAGACCATCTCGCTGGACGAAAGCACGACAGTCAAGTTTGAAATCTGGGATACCGCCGGTCAGGAACGTTACAAGTCGCTGGCTCCCATGTACTATCGAAATGCGAACTGCGCCGTCGTCGTCTACGACATCACACAAGCGGTATGCCTTCTTAACCCCTCGAACGGAGTAGGAGCTGTGGATAGGTCGCTAATGGAGCAATCTGGGACAGTCATCGTTGGACAAGGCCAAGTCGTGGGTGAAGGAACTCCAGCGTCAAGCGAACGAGAACATTGTCATCGCTCTGGCGGGCAACAAGTTGGATCTCGCCACGGAGCAGCCGGACAAGCGTGCGATCCCGACGGCCGATGCCGAGGCCTATGCCCGCGAGGCCGGCCTGCTCTTCTTTGAGACCTCCGCCAAGACCTCGTCGAATGTACGGGAGCTGTTCACCGCGATTGCAAAGAAACTGCCGCTCGACCAAGCGGGCCCGAGAAACCTGCGCACGAACCCGCGGCCCGGCGTCGACCTGCGGCCGGAGGCTCCCGGCACCCAGGGGGCGGGAGCTTGCCAATGTTAAGCTGTTCTGTTGGGTGGTGGGAAATTGTTGATGTCCGACTCCGCGTTCGTTTCCATGTTTTCTAGATGCGACGGGTGCAGGTTTCCTGACGGGTAGAAGTGGACAGACCATGACTGCCGTGCGCAGTATACTCCTGGGCAGTGTTCTCATTGACGGCGTTTGCTATGGACAATGGGATCCCCTTCTGATGGACGGGTTCTGGTTTGATCCACCTTAATGTGGGGTCTTTACTGTGGAAGACAGTCTACGGACTGCCATCATCTTTGTCCGGTGGATCTGCGCTCTAGATATTATGCAGCAGGACTGTGCCTGCGATCTGTTTCTTTTATCTCTGTGTGCCCCCTCTATCTGCCTCTGTTTCTTCCGGCGTCTATTTCTGTTGGGCTGAATGCATGTCACTTTTTTTTTCCCTTTTCTTTTCTTTTCTTTTCTTTTTCTGTTTTCTTTTCCCCTTCGCTATCTGGTCTTCTCGACGACTGTCGTACGCTATCATTATATAATATCGTGTCACGATTTCGACCTATTCTCCGGCGCCCATCGTAGATGGCATGGTATCAGATATCTTGTAGGGCATTTGCCTGAACTTCAAGCTGTCTATCAATCTGGCAGGGTAGAACCCTAGCCCCATCCGTCACTCACAGTCACCCGTCTGTCTACCGTCTGTCTACCGTCTCCCCCGCTTCTTGCCACACTTCCCACCGTAGTTTGGGCTCTCTTTATCTTTGACTGTAGATCAGGTTGATAGGGAGTCTGTCTGCCTTCTTGAACATACTCTGTCTGACTCCCGTTCTTGCTTCTACGCAAGTACAATCATCACGATGAGAGGTATTGCAGATGGGATCGTGGGGACGATGAATGTTCATGAGAAAATCTCGATAATATCGACTATCTCGTGATTGATACTATGGCATAAGAAGCCTAGATTTTGTCCGTGAGTTCCGAATAAAAGAATATACTAAATATAAGAATGGTTGTTGAATAGGGGAATAAGCTGTATTTCTATCTTTATAGACTGTAGGTTGTCTGCTGTCTTTCCGTCGTCCGTCCACGGTACCACATCATATCTTCCATGATCCGTGCAGATTAATTCTGGTACGATCTTAACAGGTATTATTCGACCGATAGTTCTCTCGTTACCTACTCATCTCATATCCCACTCGATTGGATTTCCATTTCAGTGGATATAAAGAGATATTATCACCAGAAATCCCTCGTCAGATCAACTGGTGACGTGCCAATCATGCGGTAGAGAATACGATGACCATTTATAGAGCAGGAAGATCTGCCTGAGTGCCTGGACTCGACGACGTCAGAGGCAGAAAGACACCGCCTCCGATCATCATCATCAGCTGAATGTTGTATTATTGTATGAGTCAAAGATGTATTATTGGAGATGATGAATTACGCGATGACTATATCTTAGTCTAGTATAGTATTATACTATCAATTACATTACATTGTCCTATTCTACCGGTTCTCTGGTCTGATATATCAACATGATGACTCAGCACTGCACCAAACACCCGACTTCTTCCTCTCCCGCTTCTCCATCTCGGCCTTCTCTCCTCCATCCATCGTGGCCATTGTCCTTATATGTGAGTGATTTGATTCTTCTCCTTTCCTAATTCGAGCCATTGCTTCCTTGCACTTTCTCCCCTTCCTGCATTCAATTCCCTTTCTTCCCCCCCATCCTTCATCCTTTCCCCCTCCCCCCCTGTCATGGTTGCCTTCCCCCGGAGCCCTTTGCCCTAAGCTCGCTCTGTAGGCTTAAAATTCTGCACCCACCTCTCTAACCACTTCCCATAAATACCTCACCATTTCCTCTTTGACTACCCCCCACCTTCCCCCCCCCCCTTTTTCTTCTTTTCTACCTAAAACCTGTCATCTTCCAAGACTGATCACTAATTCTCCCGGTCAGATTCAGTGGAATTTTTGACTTTCTCTTTGTCTTTCCCGGTCAGATCTGTCTAGATTTGCCGGCTTTCCCTCTCGTCCATCCTCGAACCAGCCTTTGGACTCGACCAGTTCCAAAGGCTTCCCATTCCATCACGGCTTTCATAGCCTCACGTGTGCTCCTCCGTCAAATTGTCTCTCCCTGGAGACCTCGTGACATTCTTAATAACATCCCGCCTCCTGCTCCTGTCCAACCCCGCCTTTTCCGCCGGTGCGCCATTTGTTAGCGCGTTGACGCCCTCTCATCTTATTCCCTCACCTCTTGAGCTGCCGCATAGGACTTCTCTGCCGGTTCTTCCTCTTAAGGAGGAAGGGTCGAGGAGGCTTGGTCCAGTCAACCTCGGTTGCGAAACTTTTCGTCCTCCTTAACACGCAGTCGCGTTCAATCTATCTCTCTTTTTTTTAAAACAATCCCGTTCCTGTGTGCCCGATCACACACATGGTTATGGCACCGACTGCGTGTGTCCCTGCTGAAGTATGCATGACAAAATTCTGTCATGAAAAAGATGACTATAATGCCCCCGCGCATTATAGTCCAATCGTCAGTCATGGAGGAGACGATCTGTCGCAATCCAGGTTGACTGCCAAGGGCCTCGTCCACGATGTCCTCCGTCGGCGGGCTGCCGAGGTGAACGTCGACCATTGCGGTCCCGGTGAAGAGGATGCCTTCTACGTGGCCGACATGGGCGAGGTCTACCGTCAGCACCTCCGCTGGAAGATGAACCTTAGCCGCGTCCGACCTTTTTATGGTGAGATATATTGATATATTATACATCCTCGGTGCGAAGAACACAGCTAACAGTCCCAGCTGTCAAATGTAACCCCGACCCTGAAGTCCTCCGCCTCATGGCCCAGCTCGGCAACGGCTTTGACTGTGCCTCCAAGGCCGAGATCGACCTGGCCCTCGAGACCGGCATCGACCCCAGTCGCATCATCTACGCCCAGCCCTGCAAGACCAAGTCTTACCTGCGCCACGCCGCCAATGTCGGCGTCAAGCAGATGACCTTTGACAACGCCGACGAGCTGTACAAGATCAAGGCCTGCTTCCCGGACGCCGAGCTGTACCTGCGCATCCTCACGGATGACTCAACCAGCCTGTGCCGGCTGAGCATGAAGTTCGGCGCCTCCATGGACATGGCCCGCCCGCTGCTCGAGCGGGCCCGCGAGCTCGACCTGAAGGTCGTGGGCGTCAGCTTCCACGTCGGGTCCGGCGCCGAGGACGCCGGGGCCTTCCTCAAGGCCGTCCAGGACGCCCGTCTGGTCTTCGACCAGGCCACCGAGATCGGTCACGAGCTGCACACCCTCGACGTCGGCGGCGGGTTCATGCACGACAGCTTCGAGCGCTTCGCCGCCGTCCTCGGCGAAGCCCTCGACATGTACTTCCCGCCGCATGTCCGCATCATCGCCGAGCCCGGCCGTTACTACGTCGCCAACGCCTTCACGCTGGCCGCCAACGTGATCGCCCGCCGCGACGTGCGCGACCCGGACGACCCGGCCAACGACGCCTACATGCTCTACCTCAACGACGGCGTCTACGGCAACTTTTCCAACATCATCTTCGACCACCAGCACCCGGTGGCTCAGATCTTGACCTGCGCCGGCGACCCCCAGGCCGCGACCCCCGCTGTCGCCGTCTCGCCGTCAGATGGCGTCGCCTACTCCATCTGGGGCCCCACCTGCGATGGCATCGACGTCATCGACCAGCGCATCTCGCTGCCGGGCCTGCTGGACGTCGGCGACTGGCTGTACTTTGAGGAGATGGGCGCCTACACCAAGTGCAGCGCCACGCGCTTCAACGGCTTCTCCGATAACCACGAGGTGATTTACATCTCGAGCGAGCCGGGCGCGTCTGCCCTTTTGGAGTATTAATTTATATTGTTCCTGTTTGAGTCTGTCTTTGTGGTTTATTTTTTGTTGTGTTTTTTTTTTGTCGAATCTCGGTAGAGTAGATGTTGATTGTGTTGTAATTGATGTTGTCTTTTCGGGTTCTTTATCATATATTTGGCTCCGCCTAGAAGCTTAAGGGCTGCTAGCCTTGCTATGTTGGCACGTGATCAGGCTTCTATATCCATCCTTCTTACATCCGTATTGCGTATATTGCATCTGTATGGACAAGTCATTCAACATCTCAGCCTTGACATTTATTGTCGTTTTTATATACATCCTGTAAATTCGGGCGGAGCCAGCTCCATCTATCACAGCCCTTTATCTAAAAAGGAACATATATCCGAAAACAAAATGAGAATCAACTCTAAACAAGTCGTTCAACAACCAACTCCACCCCCTCACTCGCACCCACAGCTTGCACCAAACCCCCCGCCTCCAGCTTCTTCGTCCACTTCGCAGACTCGTACCGCGCCAGGATGAGCGTCATGCGGACCACGGCGTCTGGGTCGACTGTCTGGCCGACGGTGTCAGACGGCGTGGTTGTCCAGCGGCCGAAGGCCCAATTCAGGATGTAGTTCTGGGTGTCGCTTGTGGGCGGCGAAGACGGCGCGGGGTTCGACCCGTCGTCGTCGGACGATGAAATGGGTGGTGTAGTGGTCGAGCAGCGCAGGATGCCCTTGATGCGGTAGACTTCTTCCTTGGGCGGGGAACGCAGGAAGCGCTGCAGGGCTTCGACGTCGACGGTGGCATCTTTGCGGGCGGGCGCTTTGAGCGTGACGGAGAGAACCTCGACCTCAGACTGATGATCATGTTTATGCTCATGATCATGATCATGACCATGTTCACCATTCGCCAACTGAGCATCCTCCCCCTCCTTGGCAAACAATGCCCCATCAATCCCCAACAGAACATCCTTGTCAACCCGTCCCTTCTCACTCTTCACCCACGGCGTATCAACCTCCAGATCACCCACCCGATCAAGACACAAATCAAACTCCCTCTCAGACACATTCTCCCACTTGTTGAAGATGATCAAATCCGTATACTTCGCCTGCAGCTTCGCCGTATACGACGTATCCTCGTACCCCTCCCAATTCTCCACGTCAATGACACTGATGACCCCGTCCAGCGCGATCGTCCCCGGCTGCTCCCGCGCAAGCCGGTTGACTTCCATGGCGAGGGTTGCTGGGAATGCGCTTCCTGAGGTCTCGATCACGATGCGGTCAGGCTGGACTTGTTCGCGCAGTTGGTCGAGCGCGTCGCTGAGTTGGCCGACGAGGTTGCAGCAAATGCAGCCGTTGAGGAGCTCGCGGACGCCGGAGATGGAGTTTGTTGAGGCGAGCTGCGAGTCGATGGCTACGTCGCCGAATTCGTTTTTGAGGAGCGCGAGGCGGTAGGTTTTGGGGAGTTGCGGGATGAGGTTTAGGAGGAGGGTCGTCTTGCCCGAGCCCAGGAAGCCAGTTATGATTGTTATGGGGATGGGAGACATTTTCGGTTCTTTTGTATCTGTTCGGATGGGATGATTGAATGATTGAATGGGGTTGTTTTTGGTGGTGGGGTTGGAGATGAGATGGATCTATATGCTGGGTGATTCTATAAAAGAGGGGAAAGAATAGAGAAAAGAGAAGGGAAAAGCACAATCTAATCTATGCGACAAGAACGCAGACAGACAGACAGACAGAATGGTAGGAAGAAGAAGATGAAGCCGAATTGCGGGTAAAGATATTAAGGATATGGAAATCCCGAGGAAATCGGAGGGGCAGCCGCTAGTCCGCTTTGGGATGTGCCCCGCCAATGTACAGATGATGTCATTCTGTGCATAATCTGCACAATTACGGGTGGTAGTTGTGTATTGTTCGTTGATATATCAGCCAGTCAGTTGACTAGTATACAACAGTCATCACAGGAGGAATGAATTGCAATGTCAATTGTCCCTATGTTCCTGATCTATTAAACCAATTGTATTATATCTCTTCGTGATTGGATGATGGTTGTGGATTGACCCTGTCCAAGGCAGCCTTGTAGGGCGGACAATGATCTCATCATACACTATATCCTGCCCCAACAAGCTGATGTCATTCTTTACCTTTGCCATCTTGACATTAATATCCATTGAGATCCGATCAATACCTGCCAGATCGTCAATCTCTTATATGCCATATCCCTACTTCTATGTCAATCACGATGAATCCCACAGACCATCCAGTACAAGAATTCCACGAGAAACCCACCCAACAACCAACAACCACCACAGAGTCCGCCAAAGACACCGTCTCCAGTATCGGAGATAGCGTATCTGACCTCGCGACGACGTCGTGGAATGGGCTCAAATCTACTGCGACTAATGCTGCCTCGAATGAACATGTACAAAATACTTGGACTCAGATTCGTTCGGCGACGATTGGTCCTGCGGAGGGGGAGACTCCGGAACCAGGTGTGTTTTGTCCTGTAGAATATGCGAATAATAGACACTATGACTGTGGACCACGACTGAAATCCCCCCAGTAACCCGTCATCCCCAACCTAGCGCAGAAGAGAACCGCCAGATCGACGAGATGGAGACGGAGAAGATCGTCGAGTTCCTCCGAGAGAAACACCAAAGCGATGCCCCGAAACCGGCTATCTAGTGGACCAGACCTCTGTGTGTGGAAGTGGGAGGGATGTGTGGAGTGGATATTGTACGCGCGTTGACATTGACATTTGCATGGACATATACCCAGACAGCCAATGAGAAGGATATATTTATCAGTTTTATATTTATATTTACAGCAATGACCTGAATCCCTTATCGGTAGTTCGGTTTAACCCCAGGAAATCAGCAACCTGTCCTAGATGGTCGATGCCCCAGAATCCCTCAGTCTGGCCCTGGCTATTGGTGCATTCGAACCACGGGAGTCCAAACGCGCCCGACTGGAATGCTTGATCCGTGAGCGCCGACAGGCGGGATTTGATTTCTTCTTCGTTTGCCTGGCAGGTGTCAGCGCTACGCTACTCATGGGGAACCACCCAAGTGTCTAGATGCGAATCCAGAGGCAAGGGGGTGGGGGAGGGGAACACACCGCTGCAAGTATTTCCTGCGTGCCGTCCTTTCCGAGCACTTTCTCCAGCACCGGCTGGAACCCCTCGACCTGTCCGATCTTGGCATTGCCCTCTGTCCAGAACGAATGGTAGAGAGCTCCGATGGCCGGCGCCAACTGATCGGGCTTCTTCTGGGAGATGGCGCAGAGAGCGCGCTGCGGGGCTAGTGTCATTGGCGGGAAGCCCTCGGGGGAGTCATGGACCATTGGAATGGAGAAGTAGCGCGCCCATCGGCGTCGTTCCTCATTGATCCAAATATCCTTGTCTATGGAACGTTCAGCGAATGGAACCGACCAGGGAGGGAGGATGTGAAACCCAGGGGATGGAGGCGCACTCACTCTTGACCCGGATGGGAGGCGTGTTCCCACAGGCTTTCATCAGGCCCCCCAGGAAAATAGGGACGTATGTCACATTGCAGCTGGCGAAAACGGGGGAGTTCTTCAGTGGATTTCAGCATGGATAATTGCATTGGTGCTTATCATTTGCATAGTGCCATTCTTACCTGCAGGATATGGAAGGCAATGTAACCGAATGGACTCACAACGTCCAGGTAGAGCTTGATCTGGGGGGGAGCCATGGCTTCAATCTTCCTGTCCAGACTGTTCCAACAGGTATATGGCTCACGGTCTATGGAATAACTGCTTGATTGAGGAATGATGCCCCTTACTTGCTTACTTGATGTTCTAAATGCTCTCCCCGCATGCTGAGTCAGCGCTTATTACCGAGGCCCGATCTATACACGAGATTCTTGCTGGAACTTATTCCACATCTGCGGGACAGACGAATGGAACGATGATCACTGGTATCGCACTGGCGTTCTGTGACGATCAAACAGTGCTTAATCCTTGCAGTAGCCAATCATTGAAACGCCGGTGTTTGCTTTCTGCAGAATGCCTGCCTCGTGCGGCTTGCCGAGTTAGGGCTAGCCGAATAGTCCCATCATCTTCTGCCCAAAACTGCCCAGAGTTCAGGCAAACGGCACTTGAATTCTTGGCTGTGCCTATGTGCAGGAGATCACACAGCATCTAGCCTATACGGGGCCCTTGCATGATGTCTACAATATTTACAGGACTGAGGATGTCGATCCTACTGTCTCACTGAAATATTCAGCCCTAACCCCGGATCACTATCACATCCACATCACCCAGGCTAGAAAAGCGCCTCCATGCTACCCCATAGGTACACCCAGCGCCCTACAGGTGTGGTAACGTAGTATCCCCTGCAGGCGCGTAGTCATCCAGACCAAGCCAGTTCGTGCGAGGGATACCCGGTCACTCTCCGATTGGATATGCCACTACTATGCGGCTCTATGAGCTGGGTCTCTATGGACCACGCAAAGTGACAGAGGCTTTTGCCGGGGCCGAATGGTCTAATTTTCGTACATTTGGAGGAGCAGCTTGATCACAAGACGCGGTCAACCGGGATTACTCCACGTCCTCGTGGCTTTTGCTATTTGTCATGGAAAATGCGGAGGCGTGGATATCCGTCTTGTCATGGCAGCTGTCTCTGGAGAACACTGAGATCTGGTAGTATATAAAGTGGTCATTGACCCGACATTTGAAGCATCATCCAGACAGACAGATCCTCTTAGGCCTCTACATTAGTACTGCAGCCCAAACCCTCCCCACCTCAAACCAAAACCACCAACTCCAAACAATCACAATGCAGCTCATCTCCCTCGCCTCCATGGGCCTCGTCCTCTTCGCTGCCGTCGGCGCAGTCGCCAGCCCCATGGACAACAATGCCCTCGACGTCAATGATAATCTGGAGGTGCGCGACGAAGCAGCCACACTGATCAAATACCACGGAGTGAGTTCCTCTCCTATCCACATAACCAACATATCAAGCACGACGAAAAGAGCACCACTAACCTGCCCACCCACTTCGTTTCTTTCCCACAGCATTGCTCCAAGAAGAACAACTCCTGCAAATTTAAGGGCCAGCACGGCAAGACGTCCTTCTGCCACTGCAAGTTTAAGAAGGTATAACACAAACCGGTCCTAGTCTGCTGGTTCAGAGGTTTCTTGAGACTTTTTGCTGATGTGATGTTCGTGTTTATAGTGCAGCAGGGATGGCAACAAGTGCCACTTTGATAGCTATAGTCGGGATTGCAAGTGTATCTAGGTGGTTGGTGCTTGGCTCTCCTTCGGGGGCGCTCTATATAGTTGGCTCTGCTTGGCTGCAATAGTGCAAGTGTGGCATTCAACATGTCTGCTTGTGGATAGTCTTTAGTTACCGTCAGTGAATACACAAGCTTGTTGTCTACCTAGTTATCATGGTTAATCTCGTATTTGTTTTTGTCTTGTTGCTTCATATGAGGGGTAATGGGAGTGGCATTGTAAATGTGGAACTTGTGGAGATGGACATGGAACCGGTCAGATACTTGGTTGTTTCCTGGCTAAAGCAGAGTCTAGACGTTTTTGTTGCGTATTCCGAGCGCATCATGAGCACTTCTTTCAACGATTCATCAGTTTCATCAACTCTGTATATTGACCGAGGTGAGCCTCGGACTATTTAGCGATTCAAGGGGTTCAACCTCAAGTAGGACAGTATGCGGAGTAGAACCCAAATATATTCACTGCGATAAGTAAAGAGAGATAAATCTATCCAGAAATTCAATTCACTCAGAAGCATCACCCTCATCCTCCTTCATCAAGTTCTTCAAACCCACCAGGTCAGGATCCTGCTTCGACTTATCGCCCACTCCCTCGAATACTCGCAGAATCTTCGAGTTCCTCTCCTCCACGTGCCCCAACATGGTCTCGATCGCGTCTTGCGCGCACTCTTTTAGACCGCTCTCGGACGCCTCATCAGCGAGACGACCGATTTCGTGCAGTCGCTTCAGCCAGTACATCCATCTCCACGGACTGAACCCCGCCGGTGCTCGTCGACCGAGCTCGGACTCGATGAACGTCTCGCCGCATTGGGCAATGGTTGCAGGGCAACTATTCCAGGACGCGTCCGAGAGCAGAAGCAGATTGCGTCCCGCTTCATTGAGCCACGTACAGACGGCAGGGAGCAAGGCCGCGATCGAAAGATCAAGCATCGTGCGCCGCGGGTCGGCGTCTGCAAGCGCTTTAGCAGTACCGAACTCGCGCTCCGTCTCCAGAGCATCGCGGAAGAGCACTAGAGCGATCTGGCACAGGCGATCCCCGTCCACTCGCGTCGACGCCAACTTGGCAAGGAAGGAAGCGAAGTTGACGCGCTGGGTGGCGTCCATCGTCGCGCAGTCGTTCACCCAGTAGTCCGTCATGTCCGTGACCAAATAGGGTAGATCATTCCACAACGCCCCTGCGGGGGTCCGGGCGATGTCAATGCCACAGCCGCTGGGCGCAGGCCTGGTCAGGGGGCCGAGTCCACGCGTGCGTACCACGTCCAGCACCAGTCGGTCATGTTCCGTGCTTTCATGGGACATGTACCGGCCCCCTTGGTAGTAGAGATACCAGAGGTTGTGCAGGATGGGCTCGAAGGAATCGACCGAGTCCCCGATGCGGCAGTACCTCTCGCTGATGATCCATGTCTTGTTATTTGCGGCGGGTCGGAACTCTTCGAATTGCCCTTTGACGGCTGCGTCGTGCAGTCCTTCGCGGTCCCCTGGCGAGGAGCTCACCAGGTAAGGATCGGGCTCTCCTCGGGGTGGAGAGTATGTTGAGTCTGCTAGCAAGTCTGACATGATTAATTGATTGGAGATTGATAACAGGAAGGCCAATTGAAAGAAGAGATGTGGGAATGAAGATCAGGACTGTACGAAGGGAAGATAATTAGAGAGCGAGAGAAGAGAGATTATATAGAAGCGAAGTAGATAATGTGATGCCTGATTGGGTTACTGAGCAATCAGGCGTCCACCAAAAACAAAGAAAAACGAGTCAATTATTTCCTCTCCTCCTCCCTTTCACACCGCTACATATCAGAAACGCATGTCTCAACCCCAGTCAACGCTGACTTGGCGTCCATATTCGACCTCCTACTTGATTCTTGAACTTTGTGACCAATCAGTCACACGCCGTCGCTCCACTCGATCCAATTGGGGAGTCGGAACGGTGCCAGGATACGCCCATACGTGCCTTGATTCGAGCCCGCGCCTACAAGGACCGAAGTCAATTCAACCCTCATGGATGTCATGAGAGACCTTCGATCGTTCCTTCCTCTTCACGTTTCTTCCCCTTCATCTGTACGAGAAAGGAAGCTGCGATGGACGTCAGTGCAGGAATTATGGTCCAGCATTATGGATCCTCGGGTTTCTTCCGTACAGCATGCTCTGCTACAGGATCTACACTGCAGATATTACCGTGATTGCATAGTTTCTTTCTGCGGGGTGGTTTTACTGCGAGTTTAGGATACAATACAGAATTACCAATGAGCATGGTTGACCGTCCAGACTCGGTTAACGCCGGCGGACAGGCACCCATCCCAATTCCTTCCTTGGAACCTACGGGACCTACAGTGTTTACAGATGACTTCAGTGACGATACAGAGTCTGATTACATCCAAGACTCGCTCAGCAAGAGACGTCGACATGGTGTGTATTTCCACCGCCCTCCCGTTTGGTGGACGGCGTCTCCTTCCGAAACCGTCTCCCCTGCGTTTGACGACGACGTTGAAGACCCTCGATTGCATGGGAGATACACGTCGACGAGTTTGAATCGTGATGGCGCTTTTGACATATTTGAAGAGCCCAGGAGCTTCTCTCCCCAGAGCTGGGAACAACACCTCTCATGGAAGTTGGCTGCTGCATCTGCCAATGCGCTCGCCGATCCGAGATCTCTTTCGTGGGAGTCAGACCAAGCTATTCCATTACTGGTAAGTGGTGAGATCTCGGAGACAATACATTCAAGCTGAGCCGATATCAGAAAGGATGGCGACCTTACGGGACCGGGTGTCGCCCTCCACCTCCAGAGCATCTCCGCATGGGGACCAGCGATCGTGCATCAGATAGAACGTGGTCTAGCCGATATTCACCCCAGAGCATCTTGCGTCAGACTGCCCCGAAGCTTTGCACGCGCTTGCGGTCATATAAGGATGTTCGGTTGGAGCTAGGGGAGAGATGGGCCATCCAGGAAGGATCGCTGGTGATATGTCTAGATCCGTCATATACCCTACTCGACCGTCGAGAGACTTTAGCCGACGAATTTCATCTGACTGCTGGCGAAATCTATGTCATTTGTCGCCTGTATGCCGACTTGTGGGCCCTATGTGCCAAGGTCTCTCTCACACTCCCCGAGAAATGTGCGACTGAGACAGGCCGGAACACGACAAGTCTAGGCTTCCTTCCTCTTTGCGCTGTAACCCTGGCGGCAAATTTTGGTGGCTTTGCCCGAAGGTGTTGTAGGCCATACTCGGATGACCCGAGCCAGCCAGTGCATCCAGGCAACGGGCTTCCAGTCATGCCCCCACCCCGTTCCCATAGCATCAACGCGAGCAAGCAGATCTTCCAGAGCACGAAGCCCGGTGTTTCTCTTCCCAACATGTCGCTTGGCAGTTTGAGCAACCCGTTTCTCGAGGCGGATACGGAGTTCATCCCCCTGGACTCGACTTTGGAACATGTGATGGCGCGATTTACGGAGAAAGGAGAACGCTTACGTCGATTGAAAAGTCGAATGTCAGGGCACAAATCGTGGAATGTTCCTAAAGTACCAGATACATGGCGCGTCCATCTGGACAAAAATGGCTATTTCTCCCGTCTTCGCCATCGAAGGTCCGATTCCCAGACCTCTGACCATGGACGCCGATTTTACCTAGGCAAACATCGGAGGAGTTCTTCCTCGGCTAGCGAGCGGCTGAAGAGTTTTATTGGGATTGCTTAAGCGTTCTCACAGTGTATGTGGTGGCCAATTTTGTTGGATGGGTTTGTTGCCTCTAGCATGCGATGGCTGGTCGTTTCTGACAGAACGGTTCTTGTGGGATATTACCTGACGGATGGGGTTTATCAGTGGCGTCGGAATACAGATACGAGCATGCACATGCCGTAGTGGGGTAGGTTAGCTGTACGACTAGAATGAAATTCTTGAGGATGTCCCAAACATATGTGCAAGAAACGGAAAATGCAAAGGGTCTTCATGGACACTTTGCTCTGAGTCCAGGGCAGCATTCCTCGATAAGAAATTGAGTATCGTAGACGACCATCGTGGTTTCATGGGGGTATAGTACAAAGAAACAAACAGACCCAAGAGTGTTATATAAGTACACTGCAGACGTCACATCTCCTAATGCCAATCCGCCCGCGCATAGCAATAAATCTCAATCTGATCCGACAGACCATGCTGCGCCGGAAGCCGCATACAATGACGATGCAAACTACAGAGCCCGGCACCACGCATTAGGTCAAAAAACGCTTCCTCGCTCTCATGTCGACGCTTGAGAGCCACAAGAACAAGCACGTCCGGCGACGCCCGCACGAGGCGGTCTAGAACGGACACCAGCGCCGGCAGGCTGTCTGCGTTGTACGTGCAGTCCGAGACGAGGACGAGGTCGATTGCGCCCCCGTTCGTCACCTCCTCTGGGAGGTCCTCGTCGTCCCAGTCTAGGGTGTGAAACGTGACCTTTGAGGAGGGCGCGGGCTGCGCCACGGAGATGTTCTGCGTTACGATGTCTTCGACCTCCGGGAGGTCGGTGAGCACCACGTTGCAGTTGGGGAGCGTCTGGGCTAGCGAAATGCCTACGATGCCGCAGCCGGAGCCGAGTTCCACGGCGTGGAGCGGGTTGGTGGCGCTGCGGTTTTGGCTGTTCTTCAGGAGATCGCGCAACACGGGTGGTTGTGGTGCGGCTTCAGTTTTTGTTGTTGGCACTGCGGTTGCAAGCTGCTGGACGTAGGTCACGGATGCCAGAGCTGCGTCCCTGGAATTTGAAAAAAACGGGGAAGCGCTTGCTTTAGAGATGGAAAACAAAGGCTGGTTGGGTTTTGCAGGTTGGGTTTATCTCACCAGATGTGTCGCGCTATGCTGTTGCCGGTCTCCTCCCAGATCCGGAGATCCTGCGGGCCGAATCGTCGCTCTACGAGCTTTTCGGCTACGGGCGACTCAGCCCCGCCGAATGGTGCGCTCCAGCCTGAGATGACTAGCGGAGCAGCATGCTGCTGGCTAGGGAGCAGGGTGTCTGCGAAGGGGGCGCGAGGTTTGCGCGAGTCCGTTGGCGCGGAGACACTGAGGACTAAGGCGTGTTTGGATAGATGCGGTGGGAATGGGCCCAGTGCGATGGGGACTTCCCGCTTGCTGGCTGTCCATTTCACGCGTTCTTGGTACAACACTTGATCAGCATTGGAAGCGTTCAATGATACCAGGAGATCCACATCCTCGGCTAGGAAAGCGTCGCCTAGGTCCGTGGTGATGCAGATGAGGGCCGATACGCTGAGGGCGCCGGTTTTCTGCTTCTGGACCCGGGGGGTCTTCAAGAATCGAATGTAGTAGACCATGGGTGTATGGCTTGAGAGATTCCGCTCGTACTGGGTTCAGGATAAACAAATCAAGAAAAGTGAGGCCATTGATGGAATATCAAAAACGAGCGGCACGTGCCGATGACTAAGGCGATGACATCGACGTGGAGAAAACGGACGGGAATGGCTTCCTCAGGCCTGCATCCGTCAACCACCCGTGGGTCTTTTGTATCGATCGACCCTCGACCGTCCGGATCTCCCTGCGCATGTCATTGCCTCGATATAACTACCACACCAAACATTCCAATGGGAGTGTCTGGCTATTGCAGACGTTACCCCACGTAATTTCCATCGTTCCTTGACTTGTCCTTGGGTTCTCCCCACCCCTCGGTTACTTCCTGCCCGTCCGCCCAATACATACCGCCATCTCCACCAAACGTCCCCAGAATGATACGACCCAGAGACCCCCGCGTCCGCCAGCGCATCAACCAGATATCACACAATCTCGAGACGGCGAATGAAACGGCCCAAGAGGGTCTTTACACCTTTTCGCATAACTATATCGTTCCGTGCTTATCTTCGATCGGGAATTGCGTCTACGCCTGTGCTGCGCCATGCCTTCCAACCCGCCAAGACCACATTCGGCGTCGTCGGCGCGATCGCGCAGAGGCGAGTTTCGACTTCTACGATGACTGGGATAATGAGGAGGGCGTTGAGAGCGGCCTGCTGGGGTTTGGGACGGAAGAGCTCGACCGTCTGTTGGCTGGCAGCGGGTTAACGCGCGGGGGCGCCGAACAGCCCCGTCGACAGCGGAGAATGAGCTACGGTGCGCGGCGCGTGCGCAGGAAGAGTACCGCGCTTGCGCCTGACAGTCGATCGGACCCTACGGTGATCCCTAGCTCCTCGTTTCTTGGTTTCTTGGAGCGGTTTCCCTGGAGGATGGGCGCGCGGGGCGTGAAGTATCGGCCGTCGGCGGCGGATCTCCAGGAACACCCGACGGGTCTGCGGCGGAATGTGCAGGAAGATGAGCCTCTGCTGGAGGAGGCGGCGGCAGCGGAGGAGGATGAGGGGCAGGCTTCTGCCGGGGGTAATGGGCGGTATCGCAGTTCGACGCAGTCATCGCGGGAGACGGCTAATTCCTTGAGTTCTCGGGGTGACTTATTTCCAAGTGATGAGGAAGAGGATGCGGTGCCGCTGGACGATGAGTTTGCTCTGACCCTGGCGAGTCGTCGCAGTACCGGACTGGAGTCCGATGACTATCTGGGGGACAAGCCCGAGAGCATGCGGTCCATGTCTGGGACGTTTAGCGTGGAATCTAAGGACTCGAAAGCGAAGAAAGCGAAGAAAGCGAAGAAGAATAAGAAGAGCAGCCGACTGCATTCGACGCCGAGCTCCACGGTGGAGATCACCCAGGATAACACGGGCTCGGTTCTGGAAGATCTACAGAAAGAAGAGCAGCAGGCTGCGATAGAGGAGGAATCTCGGATCATCCAGAGACGACTAGCGGCCCGACAGCTAGCCACACAGCGTGGGCTCAACTCGGGGAAACACCAGGTGAGTTTCATAGTTGATGTGTTATGGATTTCATTGTCGTGCTAACTTGCTCTAGTCTACTTCGTCATCGCACCCACCGCAACCTCTTACGATTCACTCCGATGCCCCTCGTGGGTCCCCCTTCAGCACTCCGATGGAATCCGCCGGTACAAGCGATTTCTCGTCTGACCGTCGATTATCCACAGACCAGTCACAGACAGAACCATTCCCGCCGATGCCATTCAGTCCGTCTCCTGAACCAAGTGAGACCACCTCCGGTCATGCTATGACATTGGTCGATCGTGCAGGCCCTTCTGACAGTTCCCGTGGGCCACCTACTGAACCCGGTGATGAGTGATACCAAATGAGCGAGCGAGCGATCTTATAATGCTGGTTTGCTGGCCAAACCCCCGTGATCTCTCGACAGACAACAACCCCTGTACGATATGACGAATCATGATGTGGCCTACTATGCCTGATGTCTTTGAAATGCAAAAATGGAAATGTCCTCCTCGGCTACCTTTGGTCATGGTGTAGACCGTAGTCAAGTTTCCCGGAGATACGTGTGTAATCACAGCATGTATTGCCCGGTATTCCCCGCTAGATTGGAACCAAGGCTGTATTGTCGTTACCGCTGCTGCTGCTGCTGCTGTTGCTGTTGCCGACGGGCAGCCTCCCGCCTATCCTGCGCCACCGACTAAGATAACCTCAAACAGCCATGGCGGATTGACGAGGGATATGATTTCCTGATCAAAGATAGTCCACGAGTAGCCCAAATTGAGTGCGGGGAAAGACAAGGCTGGTCCCATGCTCGGAGGCCTGTGCGTGCTTTCCATCTTGGACTGAGGAAGATTTAATCTGGCAGCATCGACGCCATTTAGGAGGGCTGTCGACCTCGCCTTCCATCTGATCACTGTCCGGATCATCACGGTCCTCTCTGCCCCCCTCACTTCTACGTCATCCATGAGGCTGAGATGGAACGCAAATGCTAGGATGACCTCAGCGTATCTAAAGCTCACTGCGGACTAGTGCGACAAATACTACAGCCACGTGGTCCGGACGGAAATCAACGATATGCAGAGATGCAGACTTTCTATTCCATCAGATAGCTAGGATAACCCGCGTGTTCTCACACTTTTAGTCCGCCCTGCGTAGGCTGATAGATGATCAGGGAGGGTCTGAAAAGCGGAAAGGGACGTGTACCTCTGGGGTTCACAGTCTTTGTTGTTCTTGCGCTTGCCTCCGTCCTGGGACAGGAGGCGATCCGACTTCCAGACGACCATGGTATAAGGTCGGGAATATCGGTAGGATCTGCTCTGAATGCGCGTGGATGGGGATTGGATAGGGGATTGGATAGGGGATTGGATAGGGGATTGGACAGGGGATTGGATAGGGAGGTTCGCGTTGAAAGCGATGCAGAGTCATCTCGGGATTTACAACATTACCACAGTGAAACTGCCACAGTCAGATACAAGAAGATCGCATATAGATCTTTATGATATGTGCGTGTCCAGTCCACTGGTCTGGGCTGTGCTACCATGATGTGAGATTCAAGGCCCACGAGGGTAAGCAGATATGGCTGACCCTGACATAAAAGGTTGCATAGAAACACTCATACCAGAGAACATATCCCAAGAGTGTCGGATGGTGTCCTAGTGTTGATGGATGGAGTTGTGAAGGGAAGAAATGAAGCCATATCAGAACGATCCCGTGACCATGCCCCAAACCAGTTTAGCGTCTGCCATCGACTGCCCGTCTAGTACTAGTGTCCAGAGTCACTCCAACCACAGACACTGATGACTACTGAACTTACTCGATGTGATCCTCTTCTTTCCCCGGCAAAAAGATCCTCGAAATCCACACGCAGAAAGTCATCAGCCACACTTGACCGACTGCTTCTCCTCCTCCTTCACCAACCAAACGGATCTCCTCTCCCACTCTACTCCTTTCCAATCATTCGACCGATTCCCCCCCTTCTAGATTGTCTATCCATTTAGGTTTTCTCGACGGTGCTGAACTGGGTTGCGTGGGATCTAAGACCGTTCCCGATCCACCCATCAATCCCCCGTCCGAAGTTCCCTACCGGTCTGCATTGGAGGAATAGGACGACACCCCCGTCCGGGATTCCGATCAGTGGAAGGGATTTGTCCCGCCGTTCCTGGTCGATCGTGCTGCGCCGTTCGACCCTGTAACCCTTCCTGTGGTCCTTCGGCGGGTATCTTGTGTGCTGTTGGGTGACGGTTGTGGCGGCCTGCGTGACAAGGCCCTCTCTCCCCGACGGGTTCCATTCCGACTGTCGAGCCCACCGTTTCGAACGTCTTCGCATTTTTCCCAAGCTTCCGTTCAACTAGTCCACGCGACCACCGTCGAATTCCACCTCTCTGGGTTGACCAGAATTTCCGAGATCGAACCCGAATCGCCATGTCGTCCGCTGCCATGTCCAAGAAGAACAAGGGTAAAAAGGTCGCCGACCCGAACGAGACCTCGAAGTTGTTGGCGGCCAAAATCTCCCAGTTGGAACAAGATGCTGCGGGGGAAAAGGACCAGGAGCAGGAAATTGGTGGGTGGTTTCCCTTTCGACCGTGAAATCGCCGGAGAGTGCCTTTTTCAACTTTTTATTCTTCACGTTTTAATCTGCTTTTGTTTCTTTCGGACTTTCCTGGCAATCTTCAGGACAAGCTAACCAGTCCCTGCGTGTCTACAGAGCGGGAGGTCAAGAAAGCCACTCGAGACCTCAATCAACTGTTGAGTAACATCGAATCCCCCATGACCCGACTGGAGACCGTCCATAAGAAATACACCGAGTTGCTGGCCGATATGAAAAAGTTGGATCGCGATTACTCAAAGAGCAAGAAGCGAGCCGACCAGTTGCAGAAGGATCAGGACAAGGGTAAATCGGAGTTGAACAAAACGGTCACCATGAAGGACAAACTGGAAAAACTGTGCCGCGAACTCACCAAGGAGAACAAAAAGGTCAAGGTGCGTCTTTTCTGCGGATTCCGCGCCCGTCCGGTGAGGTAGGATGGGAGAAGGCTGACGGACCGATTGCATAGGACGAGAACAAGAAACTGGAGGAGACGGAGAAGAAGGCACGGCTCATTGTCAACGAACGCCTCGACTCGCTGTTGTACGATATTCAAGATGTCATGGCCGCCAAGGGGAACCCCCGCAACGAGAAGCTGGATATTGACTTGGACGAAGCGTACGATTGATCCCTTCTTCCCCCCGCACCTTCATCCGGGCCTCCGTTACTGAACGAGTATCCCCTAGTTTGCGCGCCAAGATCAAGACCATCGGCGAAAAGTTCGAGATGCGCGAATTACACTACAAGTCCCTCCTTCGGAGCAAGGATGCGGAGATACAATGCCTGACCGCCAAGTACGAAGAACAACGCCGAGCCGCAGAGAACGAAGCCGCCCGATGCCGTGCGCTCAGCTCGCAGGTATCCACCTTTTCACAAACCGAGGCCGAATTGCGGAGTCAGCTCAACATCTACGTCGAGAAGTTCAAGCAGGTACGGTTGTCGGGGACCACGTCCCATCCTCGTGTTGGATGCGTTGGTAACCATATTGATTCTAGGTGGAAGATACGTTAAACAACAGTAACGAGCTGTTCCTGACCTTCCGCAAGGAGATGGAGGAGATGTCGAAGAAGACCAAACGTCTGGAGAAGGAGAATCTGACCCTGACGCGCAAGCACGACCAGACCAATCGCAATATCCTGGAGATGGCGGAGGAACGCACACGGAATCACGAAGAGTTGGAAAAGTGGCGCAAGAAGAGCCACCATCTCGAGGCCCTGTGTCGGCGCATGCAAGCCCAAGGTCGGGGGCAGGGTCTGGCCGCAGAGCTAGGTGCGGACGACGAGGGGACGGAGAGCGAATATGACGAAGACTACGAAGACGAAGAAGACGACGAGGAGGGCATCAGCGACGACGACGAGGACGAAGACGACGAGGAGGAGTACGAGCTGGATAGCCCGAACCGCGGCTTGAACGGCGACCGTCACGCGCCACAGCAACCGGAAAAGCCGGTCTTTGGACCGCCGCCGCCGCCGAATCTTTTGGAGGCGCGTGCCAACGGGAACAAGGCCATGATCAATGGATGTCATTAGTATTTGTTTTGCAATGGTACTTCTTTTCTTTTAAGTTTTTTTTATCCTTTATTTCTGGGGGCTTTATACTGGACTGGTATTGGGTGGAGTATCGTCGGTGGACTCCCTCTCTTACTGTTTTGCTGGTGGATCGGTCGGATATCTGATCTGCCCAGTGTCTGTTCTGTTGATGGAGTGACCTGTAGTCGACTTGCATATTCTTCTCGTCCGGGGTCACCTTTCCTGGCTCACGGGAGGTTGGATTCACAGGGCCTCCTACCTGTTCTGTTGTTCATTCATGTATCTGTACATGCTAGACTCTTCTCGTCTGCAACATCTCATGCTGTTATGATTTCAATGCAGTCCGTACCATATTCATATGTATACTTATATACTACCACTATGTCACTGGGAATAGGAATCTAACCATGAACAGACCGGTCGACCGACCAAGCCAAAGCAACAAAAGAAAACAATAAGAAAATCACAGCTTACTCGACGCCCCCACAAACGAAACCCCCTTGTTCAAAGACACAATCGCCTCCTGAACCATCTCGCGCACGATATCCCCCGCAGGCTTAATCTCCTTGATAATGCCCGACACATCGCCCATCAAGAACGGGATGTCAATATCAACATCATTCTTAAAGTCATGCTCAATAGGTACGATCCCCTTCGCCGTCAACTCCGCAATCTCCTGCGGCCGCTTATGCCAGTCCTTGATGTAATCATTCGGCAGCATCCGCAGCGGCCTGCCAGACACAACCAGCGTGCGCGTCGTCTCCCCCAGCTGCGCTCCCACAACCGCCTCCTTGTGCATCTGGCTCGCGCCGCTCTCCTTCGACGCGACGAACCGCGTGCCGACCCACACACCCGCAGCGCCCAGCACCAACGACGCGGCCAGACTGCGCCCGTCGTTGACGCCCCCCGCCGCGACTACCAGCGCAGGCTGCCCCGTCAGCGGGCTCTTGTAATTCCGAGCGACGTCAACGATGGCAGGGATCAGCACCGAGAACGGGATGTCGCCTGTATGCCCGCCTCCCTCGCCGCCCTGCGCGCACACAATGTCCACACCGAGCTTGAAGGCCTTTTCGGCGTGCTTGGGGGCGCCCACCATGTTCATGACGAGGATGTTTGCGTCGTGCAGCCGCTTGATGACGCGTTCGGGGGGCACGCCCACGGCGGAGACGAAGAGACGCGCTCCGTGCGCGATCACCACGTCGATGAGCTCGTCGAGCTGGCCGTGCGTGTAGTCGTGGTTTGTGGCGCGCGCGCTGCCGCCGACTTGGGGCAGGGCGAGGTCCACGCCGAAGGGTAGGGAGGGGTCGCGTAGGGAGGCTTTGAGCTCCGTTAGCATTTCGGAGAGCTGTTCGGGCGTGTAGCCTAGTCCGCCGATTGTGCCGAGGCCGCCCGCGTTGGAGACGGCTGCTGCTAGGGGCGCGCTTGAGGCGCGAGCCATGCCGGCGAGGAGGATGGGGTGCTGGATTTGAAGCAGCTTGCAGAGGGGGGTGGTGAGAGACATGATTATGGGTCGGTTGGGAGGACTGGCGGTGAGGTGTGAGGAGGATAGGGTATGTAGCGGTTGGATGGTATGGATGTCGACGGATAAGGTGATATCTGTTCGTGTTAGTTCCTTGATTTGAATTGGAGGGTTTAAAAGAAAGGTTGCAATCTGTCATACTCGGTGTTCGGGCCAGCCTTGTATATAACCGCGGTTGGAGAGGCCGACGTGAATTAGTGGTAGAAGGGGAAGTAGTAGGGGAGGGGGGGGAGATGACCGAAAAAGGCGATCAATTGAGATAAAATAGAGTTTCTATAATATTTTCTTGATTTCTTTTCTTTCCTTTTTCTTGAATTAAGTAAGAAGAAAGGAAAAACATATGAAGATGGCTGGAGAGGGGAAATGCATGCGGGGAAGTGGAGGAACGAACGGTTTAGTTTGTTGTTGATCGCCGGCCGGACCGAGGTTCTTTCTTCCTCCTCTGCCTACTCGTTCACTCTGCTCACTCTGCTTGATCTTTCTAGGGTTGGTTAAGTTCTTGGCTATTCTTCGATCTGATTGATATTGACTGTCGGTTCTCGGCTGTCAATCACTTTGACTATACTATACTAATCGTTGTTGAATGATGACAACCTCATAACACCATCCCACCACCCCAGTGGGTTCAAAACTGCAATATGGACAAAACCAGGGAAACCCAATAGCCAGTTGAATTCCAGATGAGGTCATGATGTGCGCCCGCCGAGTGTGTTGCTTCCATGACCCCAGGGGTTTGAGTCACTGTCCCTGTCACAACCGCGACTTTGTTCGGGGGCCTGTTCACCTCGCCATTAGCTTGTTCTGTTGACACGGAGATCCACCGCACTGACTCACTCGTTCCGTTCTACTGAAGTTGCTGTCTGTGGGGACCGTTTGGATGCGGGGGATGTGTAGCCCGGTGTGGTTGTGGTAGTCGGGATGGGTGTCTCCTGCGTTTCTAGGCCTACACTCGGCGCAAGAGGGTCGGTTGCAGAGCCTGAGGGCTGGTAGTTGATGATAGGTGTGTATGCGGTGCTCTCCGCTGGTTCAGGACGACTTTGGACGAGATACCTCGGGTTCGGGTCAGGTAGGAAGTTTTGCAAGTTGATGGCGGTGGTCGAGGCACAGAAGACCAGACCGAGGACTGTCAATTTCCTCAACAGGCTATCCACAGAGGACAAGATTCTCATGTTGAAGGTAATCATGAAGCATTCGACGGTAACACAATATGATCAGGTTGCAGACTGCAGAGTCTCCATGTCTGGGCATTGAGGTTAATTCCCCTCCCCCTTCGTCAACGATCCCACACAGCATGCCAACGGACGGTTCCTGAAACACATGCCTGGTTTCGACGATCAACAATGAATATCCAGCTTCGGGCAGATATACTCAAGTATTCAATCACGAGTCCCCATAATAGCGCAGGGACCATAGACGACCGACAGATACTGGCATGCATCCTGGCGCTAGGAGAGCCCATGCATTGATTGTCTTGGGGCACAATGCTTCTAGAAACATCTATCTAGACTCCTTTGAATCTTCCTACCACGATTGCTCATTCTCTCAAAGCCAATTAATGGCTTTGATATCCTGCAGGCAGAGCCTTGATGTTATGCACAATGCCAGTTCCAAAGCCCGGTGCTTCGTGGTCATACTCGTTTACCCTGAACTACAAGAACAAAGCATTGTTTATATTCATCAAAGGATGATTCTGCTTTATCTCCGGTGTCAATTTTCGCCTTGTTCATTCAATGTGCCCGGGTCCTGGCTTTGTGTCGTTGAATCAACCAAGCGATCCAATCAAACATGACTGTGCACTCTTTCTTTCTCCTCATCTTACGCCTCATCCTAGGTTTAGTATAAATACGACATTTCCTTCTGCCTATACTCAGCATTGCATCATCCGCTCCTTATCCTCATCCAACAACCCCTCCCGACTAAGCCACAAATACCTTGACAGGACCTTCACCCCAATTGACAGGTGAAAATGAATCAAAAGCCACTTCCCACCATAGAAGAACAATTAGAGATGAATCAAGCGCCACTCCCCACTATAGAGTACGGGAGGATTGAAGACCGCTGGCGGTGGTACATCTATCTCGATATTCCTGAAACCGACCTGGGAAAGACCGACCCGTTTCAATATTTCTTCGATCGGATCAAATCCCGGACATACCATGTCTACCCGACCAGGGAGGCCGTTGCGCGGCAGCCTCCGGGCTATTTTTTCGTGGTCTGGGCGGATGAGAACACGGCTGACGCCATCCACAGTGCTGCTACTCTCATTGCGAGGCGCGTCGCGGTCAACTTCAAATTCGAGTGCGATGCCGGCCTGCCCATCGAGCTTTACTGTTCGTGAGTATCCCTCATTTGCTTTCTATTTTATGATACCCAGTTAGTTTTAGTTCAAGTTTTTATAGTATGGGGTCGAGTCCTGGATTGATGGGGAATTGGCATAGACTTTAATTCTTGTTTTCTTTTCAAGAGTGTATGTTTCATCTATTTGGTACGACTTGGGGGTAGAGTAGTAAATCCATTGGGAGTAAATGAATAAAGTAGTGAAGTATGGAGTACTCCGTAATAAGTCATAAAGCAGAACGCCAAAAGACGCGTGGGGTTCGCGTCCGCCGCCCAGGAACATCTTCATTGCTTCCACCATTCCACATCTTCCCGACTCCATCTTCCTACCCTCTATCTAGCGTGATATTATAAAGAAAACACTGTGTTATCACCAGGAATTGATCTGGCCTCTTCAGATCCATCCTGTTCTCCACCATGGCGACCGATACGCAATTTCTGCGCCCGCCGAGGTGTGCCCACCTAATATCCTTCCCCAGACAATAGGAAAGAAATCTAAACTGACACACTTACCTCCAGTGATGAAGAATATGCGCCCATCCAACGCGAAACCTCCCTCTACAACCCCCTCCACACCTTCCAATTGCCCTCCGGTCAAGACCGACACTACCAACAACAGTATGGCGACATGTACTTCCTGCGACTGGCCAAGTTAAAACCGGCCGCGGAGCAGATTGCCCTGGAAGCATGGGATGGGTTCAGCGTATGGATTCGCACTTCCGGAGATGACCGTCGAGTTCTGTGCTGACGATGGGTAGATCGCGGGTGAACATGCGCGGAGGGTGGATCGCGTCCTCGACGTTAGACAGGGAGAGCTGTGCTGGGTTGCGGGGACGATCTTTATGGATATGCCGCTTAAGCCTAATATCCTGGATGATCTTACGAAAGAGGTTCGTTTGCTTTCCCCAATTCTGTTTGCGGTGGTCGGTCGATTGCTAAAATCGGATTTCTGGCAGAATTTCACCCTGGCGCCTCCGCCACGCCCGACGTACCTCGACCTCGCACACCCAGAGTCCACGCAGATCATGTTGGAAGACGAGTCGGGTCGGCTGCGCCTGACGGGAAATATGCTGCGGTCGACTCCGCTGGCTACGGGCGCGATCGTTGCCGTGCTGGGCACGGAAAATAAGAATGGCGATTTCGAAGCCATCGACATCAAGGTCCCGGACTTTGCGCCGCAGCCCCGGCGGTGGGAGAGGGACGCCGATCAGAAGAGGACCGGGAAGGGCAAGATTGCGCTCGTCAGTGGTTTGGGAATCACCGGGACGTCGAGCGATACACTGTCTTTGGAGCTCCTCTCCGACTACTTGCTGGGCTACACCGGTTCTACGACCGCTGCCGCACAAGACGGCGCACTACCGGACCCCTCGAGCATCACCCGGCTAGTTATCGCCGGAAATTCACTGGGCGCGCGAGTAACGACGGGCTCGTCAGTTGACAGCGCGGCCGGTAAGAAGAAGACCGGCCCTAGGAAATACGGATACGACGCCTCGGCGTACAACCCCTCCCCGATCACGCAGCTGGACGCTTTCCTCGCCGAACTTCTTCCCAGTATTCCTGTCACCCTCATGCCCGGCGAAAGCGACCCGGCCAACTTCGCCCTGCCGCAGCAGCCCATTCACCGGGCCATGTTCCCTCGGGCGCGGGCATACTGCGCCCCGCCTCCGTCCAGCGACGGAGAGCCGGAGCCGGGCTGGTTTGACAGCGTGACAAACCCCTGGGAGGGCGACGTGGACGGGTGGCGGCTCTGGGGCAGTAGCGGCCAGAACGTCGACGACGTTCTCCGGTACTTGGATTTCGGCGATCCGGAGGGCGAGGACCCCGAGGGCGACGCCGAGCCGCGCATGCGTGTCATGGAGGCCATGCTACGCTGGCGATGTGGCGTTCCCACCGCTCCAGATACACTCTGTAAGTCTTTCGGCCTCGTTTATCCAAGGTCTACATGCTAATAGGTAATGTGACAGGGTCATATCCGTTCCAATCGCATGACCCGTTCGTGATGGAGTCCTGTCCGCACCTCTTCTTCGCGGGGAACCAGCCGCGGTTCAAGACGACAGTGATCGAGGGCGACTCGCCGCTGAAACTCAACGGAGACATCCAAATGACCGACGCGGATGAACCCAGCGGCGGACCTCGCGTGCGACTCTTATCGGTGCCTCGATTCCGAGAGACCGGCGAGCTGGTCCTGGTCGACGCGGAGACGTTAGAGGTGGAGGTGGTGCAAATCGGGACATTTGCGGGCGAGGAAGAGAAGAAATAACATATATGAGAGTAATTCATGCGTGAACGAGTCTGAGAATCGAGTCTGCCGTAGATTCTAGACCGTGGGTGGTATATCCACATACAATATCCACCCACATAGAAGGCATGGATGGAAATGCCAAGACCGCAATTCGTGTGGGATTTTCGCCCACTCGAGGCTTCACCAACTTTCGCAACTTCCAGCAACCACTCTCGTGTTGAAGACATCACCACCAACCTATCCCTTGTATTATACAATATATAAATATCGGGAGTAACCCCCAGCAAGATGCTCTTCAACGCCCAAACCGGTACGCCCCACAAATACTGTCTTCCCCGCATGTCCGAGAAAACATCCCACATGCATCAAGTCAACCAAATACTCCATACTAATGAACAAAAACAGCAATATCCACATCAGCGGTCCTCCTCGTCCCCTACTACAGCTGGCACGTCCCCCGCTACCACGAATGGATGCAAGACGAGGTGTGTGTGGCCTTGAGGTCTTGATCCCCTTTTTCCTCTTATTGTATGCAAAGTACTCCTACCTGTTTTTCTCCAGGAAATTCAAGAAGCCACCGCTTCGGAACCTCTCACTTTGGAGGGTGAATACGCTATGCAGCGCAGCTGGCGTAATGATGCTGATAAGCTCACTTTTATCGTTTGTCTTCCTCAACAACAACAACAACAACAGCCGTCATCGGAGGGAGAGCGGCATCAACAACTAGAGGGAGAGAAGCATCACCACCACCAACTAAACGTAGAAGACGACACTCTGCCCCGCATGCTAGGCGACATCAACCTCTTCCTCCGCGTCGAAGAAGACTCAGACGCCGAAGAAGAAGACCTCAAAGCCGAGAAAGCCCGAGACCGACTCGACCCGGGTCCGCGCATCGCCGGCGAAGTCGAGCTCATGATCGCCGAGAAGAAGAACCAGGGCCGCGGGTTTGGCCGCGCCACGCTGCTGTCGTTTTTGCGGTACGTCGCTGCGCATGAGAGCGAGATTGCGCACGAGTTCATCGGCAGTGAGGATCCTTCTGTGAGGGGGTTTTTGGAGCGCGGGGGTCGGCCTAGGCTGTCGCGGTTGAGTGTGAAGATTGGGTGTGAGAATAGGCGCAGTTTGGCGCTGTTTGAGAGTGCGCTTTTTCAGAAGGTTTCTGAGAAGCCGAGTTATTTTGGGGAGTTTGAGCTTAGGAGGGAGAGGGTTGTTGTTGCGGAGGTGGAGGCGGAGTTGAGGCAGGCTGGGGTTTTGGGGTATGTTGAGCTGAAGTATTTGAGGGAGTGATGTTTATATAGGTATAGATATATGTGTTTGTGTGTGTTGTTCATGATGTTTTTCGTTGGTTTTTGGAGTTGGGTATATATATCGTGCTGGTTTTATCATTTTTCTTTCTTCTTTTCTTTGCATATGGAAAATATCTACGGCTATACCTGCGCTTCGCGATAACTACAACAGATGCTTAGGGCCGAGCACTAATTTGGAATGAAGAGATATTGCCATTCCTAAACAATCAAAAATATACAGTGGTTAAAAACATCGAACTCAAAAGTAAGATGCGATCCATGTATAAACACAGATACGAAGATGAAGGTAAGTATGGAAGATCCACTCCACATGACTGCAAACAACTCCTAAATCAATATATACATGACACAACAGCACCACTATAGACAATATCATCAACCAACTCAAGTCAAGTCTCGCTTAAGCCTCGAACAGCTCCGGTCCGGGCATCGGGTACTTGGTCAGGTCACCCTGGTACAGATCGAAGTGGATGCCGGGGTCGGTGTCCTTGTACAGGGCAGGGCCCGCGGTTCCCTCGGGCTTGGCGTCACCGCCGCCAGTGACCTTGATGTTGACGCACTGGGGGTAGTTCTGCGCGCCGTCGACCTGGCCGGCGGAGTGGAGGCCGATGATCTCGTTGCGGAGCACGTAGTTGCCGTCCGCAATGGCGGCCGGGATCGTCACGGTCCAGGTGCCGTTGTTGGCAATCATGTCGTCCGAGGCCCAGACGCCGGGGTTCGCGGCCTCCGGGTCAGTGACGCCCTTGGCGTCGATCTTGAAGAACTTGAGGGTCGTCTTGTCGACCGTTGAGCAGTCTGCGCCGCAGTCCGCCAGGTACGTGATCAGGGGGCCGTGGTGGCTCTCGGGCCACTCCGTCCACTGAATGTCGACCTTGGAGCCGGCGGTCACGGGAGCCGTCAGGGCGCCGGGCTTGGCCTCCTCGTGGCAGATGATGTCCTCGCTGTCGTACTGGGTGCCGTCCACGAAGCCCAGGTCGGTGGCCGTGCTCGACCAGCCGACGGTGTCGGGCGGGTTATCTCCGTAGGCGTACTTGTCGACGAGATATCCGCCGTAGCTGGAATGGAGGTTAGTCACGTTTCAGGCTATGGATGGTCTGATCTTCTGGAGGAGCATACTATTTGCCGTCGGCAACGATACCGGAGACGTAGCCGTGCCCGGCAACGAGCGAGGCCGAGGCAAGCAAGCCGGTGAGAGAGGCAATCTTGGAGAAGCTCATGGTGAGAGAAAAGTGAGGATAGAAGTGAAAGAAACAAGTTATCAAAGGTATGCCAATGAGGGTAAAGAGCCTGCTCGATCAAAGGCGGAATGAAAGAATGATGATGGAACTGGGCTTGCAGAGCAACTGAGAGACGGGCGATCAGCATGGCCCTTTTATACTTCTTCAACGAAGAAAGCGTCTCGCCATGGCGTTGCTGAATAGATTAAAGAACCCCACAGCGTTGGCACGTCCTCTTTTCTGTAACACCAGATCATGGGTGAAATTATCCGGAGACCAAGGACGCCAGCCTAGGACCAGAGCCAGGAGCGCCTGATCTATTTCGGAAGAATATCGAACGTCGAAACGTCGCACCAATAAGACAAACCGCCGTCGAAGTTTAATCAATTTCCAGTGGAGTATATGGGACCTGTGAAATTGATGATCTTCTCAAGTACTCTACCCTTTCTTGTCCTAACGGTGAGTATAACCGTTGCTATGAGGGAGACAGTTGACTACGATGGGAACTAGCCTGGATACCGTTTCTCTATGGCTCCTTCAAGAAGCCGGTGTTTCTGGGACCCTGCCAGTGTACCAGGCCTGGTCCCGTCAGACGTACGACCGATATTTCTCCCTGGGAGGAGATGAAGATGGGTGTCAAGTGTCAACATGGTCCGCTGTGGGGTGGTCAGCCATGGCGACGCCACCAGCTGTGGCCGGCATGACGGACCGGCGGCAATACTCGACAGCCCGCGCATGGCGGAGGAGGATGCCGAAATGACGGCAGTTTGGAGCGCCCAGGGCTGGCGCCAACCGGTTCCAGCCCTGAAACAGCATGGCGCTGCCGGTCTTGGGTCTTCAAGACCAGGGGGACGAGGGCATGGCAGCTCTTCGAAGATCTGGATGACTAGGAGAGGCCGTGTCCTGAACGGCAAGGATTGGCGCCTAATAATGGGCCTGCCACTCTGATTCGAGGAGGATCTTCTCCATGAATATAGCCAATCTTCCCTAATGACAGGCACGGGAGAGTCGGATGGAGACTGTCAGTCAACACGATTGGCTCAGGGGAACTAACGCTCCTGATTTCCTTGTGATTGACTGGGATCATCGACACATCGTGGGGTGCATTCGAGAGGAGTCGGGATACGGTGACAGGGGAGGGGAAAGTGGAGGGAGGAAGATGCAAGAGGCGTTTCAACCTCAGCATGCCAAGCCTCATTATAGGCTATTTGGTTCACGTGGAGTTCTGCCCAGACGTTCCTGTCTCAGACTCACCGCATGGACCACACTGAGACGTTTCATGACAGGATATTCAGGAGCGGAATTGAAACGGTCGATCCCTCCGTGACCTTCTCAAACCTAGGGTTGATTCGGGACTACTCCGGAAGACTCTTCCAGTATCCTACGACCACGCATTCACAGCGAATTATGCAAGGCAGCATCACGCACATAGACCAGATCGCGCCATCCAGCGCAACAAGGACCTGCGTGCGATCTGCAACCCAGAAGAATCATATCATAACAGATCAGGGCGATCGGGAAGCCGAACGTGTGGACAGCTGTTTTTAACTGTTTTTTTTATTTTTATTCTTCATTATATGGTAGAGTGGAGGAAACTCCGACAAAGCAACCTCAGACACACAATTGAGAGATGCGGGTCGTCCGGCTGGCGCGTAGATAGACACTCGTCTGTCCTGATCATAACATCAGCGCACCAGCAGTGGACGCAGGAACGTCCTACCCATGCAGCCCATAGGACTGGGGAGTGGGAATCGTCCCCGTGCCGGCCCACACTGAACCTTCACATCCCATGCTAAGTTCACTCCAACTGACCAGCTGCGCAAACCCCCTCTCATGCCCTACTTTCCGTCGCGGAGGACATCAATTTACAGGGAGCGCTTCTTCTCGCCGCCCTTGGAGACGTCGGCGACCTGGAGGGCTGGTGCAGGATTGACGTCAGTGAGAGTCCAGACCACATCCATCTCAAACCATTTCCTTTCATCTCATTCGACCTCACTCGAGTAGCAAACGCCACATGTACATGGCGATCTATGGAAGTAACGCACCAGGAGGCAGGCTCTGCTTCAGCTTGTCGGCCTTGTCGGAGTCCTTCAGGACCAGGGTGTAGACGAAACGCTGGCAGCGGACCTTGAACTTGATCTGCTGGGTGTTGCGGTTGCGCTTGATGCGGGCCGCTACAATGACATAACCGTTAGCTTCCTCAACAATGCCGCAGCAACATTCCCATCCATCCTCATTCCAGCGGGGAGAGCCTCCGAAGCTCCCTCACTCTCCGACTCCGAATCCACCTCTCAACACCCGAAAAAAGACCGAGAAGACGTACAGGAGGCATCCTTGCGGCGGCAGATCTCAATGAACTGCTTGATATCGGAGACTTCACGAGGCATGGTGGGCGGTGTTGAGGGGGTGTATGACTTGACGTTGGGGAGGGGGAAAGAGGAATGAAGAATGGATTATTCAGGACTGAGGAAGAGACTCGACTTGGACGGCTCGACGTGGATTGGACGGGGCGGGAAGTGGATGAATTGTGTGGGAGACGGCCCGATTCGGCTTAGCGTGCGGGCAAACCCTGATCCGTGGCGGTGCAGTGTGGCTGATCATATCATGCCTGAGGCAGTATGTCGATGACTCGGGACTGTAGGCTACAACGTTGTCCTTCTACATTGTTGCCACCTCATCGGGCCAGATCTATAAATCGGGGTGGATTTCTTACGGTTGGAACGAGTGCAACATATTGATTCCCAGACTATCCATAATGCCTACCCCCCTCGATCGAGCATTGCATTCCAAGGTACCTTCCCGATATCCATATCCACATGATATCATGCCTTCTGTAGATCCCGGCTGACGATCCTAGAACCTCTTCATGGGTATGACTTTCCCGCTCCAGAGTATTAATCCACCAAAATCGCAGACAGCTCATTCGGAACTCCTTGATGTAGGGTTTGCGGGAATGGTCACCGCAGCAGCCGCCTGGGCCATCTGGGGCAATGACATGTTTCCCGAACAGGCAGATCCGACCGGTGGTAGGTATTCCATGTCCTGGTCCAGAAGTTTCGAACTAATGCCGCGGAAGACCCTGAGCAATGGACGGTTGATGAGATGCGTCGTTGGTTGCGTGCGGTATGTCCCACCCCCCCCGGTTTTACCCCAAATCCCCATCCCCATCAACAAGTCACCTAATAGGATTCCAGAGAGGTCTGATGCCGGACGGGAAAGCCACACGCGAGGAACTGCTCGAGCGAGTGAAAGCCAACCTGCGTATACCGCGAAACACATCTACCTGATGCTCGTCTCTTCGGCCAATCCTGGCACAATCCCTTCTGGCATTTCACGGCGCTGTCTCCCAAATCGTGCACTTTCCATGAAGCGTGCTGTTTCAGAATTTCTCCCTCCATTTTCATCTTTTCCCTCCTCGATTCGTTGATGAACTAAGCGAGTTATGCGAACTTGTGAATACCCTGCACCAATGTTGTCCATCATGTATTTTATCCAAAACCGTGACCATGATTCATAACAGCGTAAGACTCTTCCATCATAATCGTATCACTCAAACAACCAGTCGGAAGTTTTGCGTCTGGATAAGCCACTCCCTCTTGCGCCGTCCCTTGGGGGCATCGGAGGTTGGGTTAGGCACCAGGATGAAAGTTTCGCTGAATCCGCGCTGAGGAAGGTCTCTCGATTCGCCGTATCGCACATGTCCGCTGACAATGACGAGAATCGACATATCCTTGACCGACAGCTGGTTCGGCAGTTTGACCCCGGTTGGCGTGGGGGTCGGGTACGTCGGGTTGAGGATTTGGCAGTCGAACGACTGGAACTCATAGTGTGCTGGCGGCATCTGATTGACGAAGATCTCCTGCACAGCCGTCCCGTCCGCCACGGGGTTCCCGTTGAATAGGATCGTTGCCGTAGGCTTGCTGTAGAAGGAGGCGATCGCCGCGCGATTATTCTGGAGCGCGGGGTAGAACGAGTGGACGAACTCGGTGGCCGCTGGAAGCGAGGGAGGTTAGTTTAAGATTGCGCAAACCATGGGGCTTCTTCCACGGGGACAAGAATACCTTCCGTGGACACTTTCGTCAGTACATCTTGACTGCGGCCGGCCATGGTGGAAGGCAGGGATCAAATAACCCAGGTATGTAGGTTATGAAGTATAGTATGTAAATTCCTAAAAGACCAATAAAATATGACAAGACAGAGATAAATTATATATATTCAAGTAGATGATGCGACCCCAAGACCGTTCTGTCTGAGGTGGAGGCTGACGAGGATGAAGAGGATGAGAAGAGCAAATCCAGGCACCCGCGGCGGAAAAAAAGCCGTGCGGAAAGCTTGGACCACCTCGGAGACGATCCAACTCCGAAGTGCGCTCCGAACGAACCACCCAACCCATGATCCGTTTCCTCCCTCACCCCGTCCTCCTCTGGCCCAATGGCGATCTCGAATGGCGGAGTTCGTGCCCTGTCGTGGGCCAGGCAGAGCCTGTTCCATGAACGGCCGTCTTGGAAATGTGTGTCGTGCAGAGTTGCGCGATCGGGAGTCGCCGTTTCTCCGCGTCGGTTCGCGACCACGACGTCTGAAGCAAAGAAGCCCTACTATGTGACGACGCCTATCTTTTATGTGAATGCTGGTAAGTTTAGGAATGGAGCTAGACTCGGGTAGCTCAGTGGCTGACGAATTTGTCGACGACAGCTCCTCACGTCGGCCATTTGTACACAATGGTCATTGCCGATATACTGAAAAGATGGCGGACCCTAAACGGGGCCACAGATGCCCAGTTATTGACAGGGACAGATGAGCACGGGATGAAGGTAAAAGACGGATAAAATCATTGAAAGTACACACGACATTAACGGCCTGTCAGATACAACAAGCCGCTCTCGCTGCAGGGATGGACACTCAGGCTTTCTGCGACCGGAACTATAAGACATTCGAGGTTGGTTCTGCCCCATTATTTCCTACTGGATGATTATTTGGTAGGTGTATTGATCGTGGATTTAGGAACTGGCGAAAGCGGCCAACCTGGACAATGACTATTTCATACGGACGACAGAACCAGCGCATCGAGAGGCCGTTCAGTATTTCTGGGTAAGCGACGACTGAACCCATTGGGGATCTAGTGACAGGACTAACTTCATGTCTAGGAAATGCTCAACCACCGGGGCTATATCTACACGGCCAAACACGAAGGATGGTACTCCGTCAGCGACGAGACTTTCTACCCTCAGTCGCAAGTGCAGAACTCGCTGGACCCAACAACGGGGCGTAAGAGAATGGTACTTCCCGACACTCATCCTGTGAACGTGATTTCAATTGAGAAAACCCATGTGCTTATGCCACCCAGGTGTCTGTAGAAACGGGCAAGGAAGTCGAGTGGTCGTCAGAAACCAACTATCATTTCCGCTTGTCGGCTTTCCAGGAACCACTATTGGATCTGTACAAATCAGGCTTCATCACCCCTGCAAGTTATGCGACAGACGTGATCAAGTCGGTCTCGTCCGGCTTGCAAGATCTGTCGATATCCCGACCCGTGGAGCGCTTGAACTGGGGTATTCCGGTTCCCGGCGACGACAGGCAGACTATTTACGTCTGGGTCGATGCCCTGGTCAATTATCTGACCAAAGCCGGATACCCCTTCACGCCCGGCCAAGAAGGCCGCCTAGGCTGGCCAGCTGACGTGCATGTGGTCGGCAAAGATATCACTCGGTAGGAGTTTTGTCCTCGCGCGGGTGCGTTCGCGTACGAATCTGACAAGAGATCTAGTTTCCACGCCGTCTATTGGCCCGCACTCCTCATGGCGTTGGATCTGCCTGTTCCCCGCAAAGTCCTCGTCCACGGGCATTGGACAATGAACCATGCCAAGATGTCCAAGTCGACGGGGAACGTGGTTAACCCCTTCTTCGCGATTGACCGGTTTGGGGTCGATACTATGCGTTTCTTCCTGGCCTACCAGGGCGGCCTGGCAAGTGACGCCGACTACGACAACTCCTACATCATCCGAGACTACAAAAAGCTTCTTCAAGGCGGCATTGGAAATATCGCGCTCCGAACACTGGGCTTGGCGAAAAAGAACCTCCGGTCTTTCATCTCCGAGGGAGCAACGGGTTCCCTGCCTGGACAGACCCCTGCGGATGAGGAGTACCAGAGGACCTTGCAGGAGTTGCCCAGCAAAGTGGCCGAGCAGATGGAGGGCCTAAACCCTCGGGCGGCCCTCCAGGAGATCATGAGCGTCGTCGAGCAGGTCAGTTTGGCCCGCACCGGCTGTCAATGGACTCACTAACGCGCTCAATTTTCCAGGCTAACAAGTATTTCCACAATACCGTGCCGTGGGAAAACCCACCCAACCGAGACCTAGTGCTGTACAATGTGGCCGAGTCGCTACGGATCATCGGTATCCTCCTGCAGCCATTTATGCCCAGCAAGTCCAATCAGCTTCTAGATCTCCTACGCGTCGAAAATACCGTAGCCAAGCGGGGTTTCTCGGCCACCGCGTACGGATCGGATCCCGAGTATGGGGAGGGCGTCAAAAAAAGCTTGCTGTTCCCCCCCCTGATCGTGGAACAATAAGCCCACCTTCTGGCATTCAATGTGGTCATAGGAATTCCCCGATGCCCAATCACAGTTTCAGGGAGGATGAAATGGTGGATGAGATGATTTGGAGATGTCTCCACCACCGCAAGGAGAAGCTTTCCCGCTTTCACCGGACGATGGAGTTGGCCTCCAGAGGTCCTCCCCAACGACGAACCGCCCGCTACAAGCCGGTTTGTGTTATGTCACAGCCAATGAAGTAATCTGACGGTGTCCACAAGGTTATCAGCGGGAAAATTCGAGATTGGGCGGTCGTGGAGTATGACATCTATCGCCCGTGTCGGGAAACCTTGGTTCCCCGCGGCAAACTTTGAAGGCGTCGGAAAATCACTCCGTTTTATATCAGAATGACGGCGAGTTCAGGGTGGTATTTGCACGGGAATGAGGGGTCTGGTTAGTATTTGCTTTGATATTTCTGCATCTTGATATCACTTCTCAAGCCTGACTTTGGTTCGGTGTTTTTTCTCCTCTCCCGTGGCTCTATTTCCCGTGAACAAACAACATTCGTGATATCTGTTTATAGTTCCCCCTTGTGTATACTACATTGGAAATCAGCATACAATTCCTCTCCTCCTTTCTTTTTCTCTCCCGCACCTTTATACAGTCCGACTCAACGACCATGGGCAGCATCGCTCCTGTCGAGGGCAAGCCCACATTCAAGACACCATGGGTTGAGACCCCCCTGGCAGAATCGGCCTCGCTCTCGCGTATGGCCGGCTGCCGGGTCTTCCTGAAGCTGGAGAACGTCCAGCCCAGCGGCTCGTTCAAGTCCCGAGCAATGGGCAACCAGATCCTCTCCCACCTCATCAAGCCGGAGAACGCCAACCGGCCGGTGCACTTCTACGCCTCGTCGGGTGGCAACGCGGGCCTGGCAGCCGTCTGCGCCGCTCGAAGCCTCGGATACCCCTGCACGGTCGTTGTACCGATGTCGACGAAGCCACTGATGGTGCAGAAGCTGCGCACAGCCGGCGCTGCCGAAGTAATCCAGCACGGCGTGACGTTCCTGGAAGCCGGCGAGTACATGCGAGAGGTCATCATGAAGCAGACCGGAGACGGCGAGGCCGCCAACGTGGCCAAGATCGCCCTCCACCCATTCGACAACGAGCCCATCTGGGAAGGCAACAGCACCATCATCGACGAGCTGGTGCACCAACTGCCCCCACCGGCGGGAGCTGATGAAGAAACCCTCTACAACGCGCGGCCCCTCGCCGCAGACGCCCTCATCTGCAGCGTCGGCGGCGGCGGCCTCCTCAACGGCCTCATCGCAGGCATCGAACGCCACCGTAACCTGCAAAACAAAGCCCCCTCCCCGCATCCTACCCACCTCCTCGCCGTCGAAACCATCGGCACCGACTCCCTAGCCGCCGCCGTCGCTCAAAAATCCCTCGTCTCCCTCCCCAAGATCAGCTCCCAGGCTACCTCGCTCGGCGCCATCCGCGTCTCAGAGCGCACCTTCCAATACGCCACGGCCCCACCCGCCGGCATCGCTGTCCACAGCACCGTCCTGTCAGATGCGGACGCCGCCCGCGGCGTGCTCCGTCTCGCCGACGACGAGCGTCTCCTCGTTGAGCTGGCCTGCGGCGTCTGCGTGGAAGCAGCCGTCGGAGACGCCGCCCGCGCCCAACAACCACCCAGCCGAAAGCGCAAGAGGATCACCACCGCGGAGCCGCAGCAGCAGCCGCATCCCTCTGTGCGCGACGAGGGCTACGGCGACGACCGGTCCTCAGTGACGGAGAACGAAACCGATCCCGAAGACGGCAGCGACGACCGTTCCCCTCTTTCTGCTTCTCCCTCGCATCCCCTGCAATCGCGGCTGAAGCAGCTGGTCCCTGATCTGAACGCCAACAGCCGGGTGGTGATTATCGTCTGTGGAGGAAGCAATGTTACGATTGATATGGCGGCTGAGTACCGTCGGTTGTTGCAAGAGGGGTGGGGGGCTTGACTTATTCGATACCTATACCTATACCATACCTATGCCTATATAGCTTTGGTTGGTTGTTCTCATTTCTTGTTGTTTGCTTTTAGCTGGTTGTTTTCGCGCGCTTTGTTTGGTCATTCTTGGTGTTCTTGCATTGGCTGGCGAGTTTTATTGTGGCTTTTTGTTTTTGCTTGTTGCCCTGTATATAGAAAAGCTCGTGGACTGGGCTGGGTAATAGATTCATATATCTGGGATTCAGTAACATATTGTTCTATCTTCGTAGTGGTACAGCTCCAACACGTAGAATACGATAGCAGGTCCAGATGCGATGCAAAACGATAGTAATAGTAATAGCAGTGAAAAAAAAAGTTCATTCGTCAACTTCATTACGCAGAAGCAGCCACGTCCGGCGTGATCATCCCAATCCGATACTCCCAATAACTACTCCGGATAGGATCGTATCTCTCCTTGAGCAGCGTCAGCATGCGCACCGCCCCCGCCGTCCGCGGGGCGTCCGCACTGCCGGCCTCGCCCGCATACACATCCGCCAGCCACTCGAGCGCATGGCTGCTCTTCACGTCCGCCTCGGCCTCCTCCTCTCCGACAGTCACGAACTGCCGCGCAAACCCCTCCCACTCGGCGAGCGGGCGGCCCGCGGCGCGCAACACCCCCCGCGCATACGACCAGGGGCTGCGGTTTTCGGGCGCGCGCAGGATCTTCTCCTGGGCGAAGCGCAGCTCGGCGTCGACGACGTCCTCGTCCACAACGGCTAGACGGCCCTTCTGGGCGGGGTCGGACGCGGTGCAGTTGGGCATGCCGGCGTCGGGCTCGTCGCTGCGGGGACCAAAGCGTAGCATGAACCGGTGGTTCCAGGCGGAGTTGTTGCGCACGTCTGCGGTCAGCAGGGCGTCGATGTCTTGCGTCTCCCGCGGGTCGTCCCACAGCCGGAAGTGGCGTACCAGCCAGTGGCGGTAGGTCCAGACGTGGTAGTTCTTGGAGTCTTGGGCGAACATCTCCATGAGGAAGTCTCGCTCCTTGACTGGGGGTTCGGGGAAGTATGTCCGCGACGACATGACTACCTGGCGGTGTTGCCTGTTTGCTGGTTAGTGCGTTGGTCTTGAATAGGGTCACGTGTGACGTACCAGATCTGGTAGTTCTTAAGATACTTGAGGGAGACGCCGTTCAGCCATTCCAGCTCTTGGAGCAAGTCCTTTTCTAGGGCGAAGATAATTTTGGCTCGGTAGATCCTAGATTGACTCCATTAGCTCTTGCTCTATGCGTTCTAATATGAGAGGTGGGGAAACTCACCAGACGGTGTAGTGGGCAGGGTTCATGGAGATCACGTCTTGAGTCATTTTCAGGGCTCTCTCGGACATCTCATTGGCCGCCATAACCGCCCGTAGGTACGATGTCGCTTCCAGATACTCTTGGGGATAGGCGATCGTGGCCAACGGCATGGCACCAGCGTCGGCGCCATCATCCAGGGGAATGGGCTCAATGGAGGCCCATTCCGGGTCCGACGCGTATGAACTCGACATGACCGTGACAATCTCCAGCTCTGGATACTGTCAAACAGGGCAGTCAATGGGGCAGACTCCACGAATACTGGGGGTAATGGAGGAATGAAGATCGAGCATGAAGCTTTTATTTGATGCTTGGATGAACAATGAACAGGGTGATTAGATAAGCTGTCAGGTGGGGGATGCTGCCTGAGGCCGCGAGACAACAATAGGAACAACAACAATCGCTTCTCTTTCTCTTTCTTACTCTTCCTCTTACTTCCCCTCACTTCACTGTTTCTCATTCCTTGGATTGTCTCGTTTCAAGAGTGTGCCTCCGACTCATGGTGTTTAGATCACCAGCCACAAATACAGTACAACCATTACGTCCATTATATTCTCCGAATCGGAAGAGTCCCTGATCGTCTTGACGACCCCTCACCCAAGAGTTCCGTTACACTGTACCAGGATGGATGCAGATCACTCTCGATCCCCCGGGACAAGACGACATCAGGATCCTAGATAGAATCGGCCATCCGACCATCACCCACGATGGATGCTTCTACTAAGACATCTCCAATTCCCCAACGGGGTAAACCGTCCCCTACGGTCCCTGATTGGCCAACTGGCCGGCCACTGATAATAGAACCTTAATCCATTCCCCGCACGCCGGCTTGGTTCCCCGTCCGCCTCATCCTCCGCTTATCTCGCTTTATTTTGATAGCCGTAGCATGTTCGTGCTGCTCTGTTCTTCCTCCTATCGGTTCCCTGCTATGTCCGGGGTCAGTCCATGATGAGACGTGTGAAGAAATCGCGCAATGGCTGTGCTCGTTGCAAGGGCAAACGGGTCAGTGAGCCTTATCTCTACTGCCCCTCATGTTATTATTTCCTGAGCCGCTCAACCTCCTCAGACTCTCCCAGTCTCGGGGACGGGGGGCGGCCAGGAGGGGGAAAAACCTTCAGAATATCAAATTAGCTAACAGGTCCGATGGCATAGGTCAAGTGTGGGGAAGAAAAGCCGCAGTGCGGACGATGCACCCGTCTGGGGGTGAGATGCCCCGGCTACGTCCAGTCGCTCCGCTGGGTCACCAAATATCCAGAATCGTCTCCCGATGCCCTGGATCAGGATGTCGCCGCTGAGAAGGACGATGTTCAATTCGAACCCTCTTTCCCATCCCCGTCAGATCAGCCCGTTGCACCTCGGTCAACGTCGGCCATCCCGACTCCATTTGTCAACCCTCTGACTCAGACCTTGGCGGAGGGTGGGGATTTCAGTGTCCCGTCGACCCCAGACTTCTCCGGCTCGAGAGACTCGGGATCGAACGAAACGGCGGCCTTATGTGAGAGCCTCTGGGGCCTCCAGGGATCAAACACCCTCCCGGAGCTGGCAGACCTATGCCCCGCTTCTCCAGCAGCATCCACCAGGAGGGCGTCCCGACAGGACAGCTCAATATTCGAACTCGGGTCGCCCATCCCCTCAGAGTCCAACGCGGATTTCCTGTCCATGGCCGCTCCCTCGCTCCAGGACGAGTCACGCCATTACCCGGGCTTCTCCCCGTCGAACATTGTCCGGAGATACCCACCGTCCAGTCCGCGGCCCCCACCCCTCCGCGACTTCACGTCAATCCCGCAACCCTTGAACAACCCGTCCTGGACGCTCATCGAATACTACTTCAAAGAAGTCGCCGCACTATTCTCCACCTATGATAGCCAGATGAACCCGTTCCGCACCACGGTGTCGCGCCTGTGGGGGTCCTCCTTGGCCATGTGCAAGACGATGCAAAGCATGGCTGCAGCCACCCTCGTAAATGACTTCCCGCATTTCGGCCCCTTGGGTCGGCAGATGAGAGACGAGGCCGTCGACGTCATCACCAAGGAGCCCACCCTGGACGACAAATCACTCCTGGCCCTCCTCATGCTCGGCCAGACGGCCAGCTGGCACGATTCGACAGACTTGGGCATCTCCTTCTTCAACCTCTTGCGGAATCACCTCGACTCCAAACCATCCGTCACGCGAGACCCTGGGCGAAGTAACAACCACCAGTTCTTCGAAGAAGCCCTGGTCTACTGGGAGATGCTGCTGTCCTTTGTCGCCGACGATGCCACCATCCGGTCCGGTCCCTCCACGGCCGGCACAGGCGAGTCCCTCGTCTTGCAACGGGTGCCCCATCCGTGGACCGGCATCGCCCGCGATACCCAATCCACCATGCAAGAGGTGGGCCGGCTCGTCCGTCGGGAACGGAAACGCATCCGCGCGCGGCGGTTCACCTCCCATGGTGAGGTCACGCAGGCGCAGCGGGCCCTAGACAAGGCCCGCGAGCTGGAGGAACGACTGCTCGGATTCGCCCATCCGGCGGAAGCCGAGATCGTCTCCCCCGGGGATGATGAAACCCCCGTCTGGCATCTGCTGACCATGGCGGAGGTCTACCGCTGCACGGGTCTCATGCAGCTCTACCGCGCCTTCCCCGATCTACTTCAGCGCCGGCTCCCTCGGCCGCCTCTGTCCTCGTCGTCCGTCCCCTTCCCGGACCCCTTCCTGTCTGTCGATGTGGACACCGACCCCGCGACCGCCTGGTTCTGCGACCCATCGCATCTTCCGACCCCCGAGGGTACGAATCCCGCGAATCCGCCGCCCGCCGACCAACCCCCGCCCGACGCCTCCTACCACGACACTTGGCTGACCGAGTTCGCCCTCACCACGCTCTCCCGGCTCAAGACCATCCCGCTGGAGTCGCGCACCCGCTGTCTGCAGCCGTTCCTCCTCGTCGCCGCCAGCAGCGAGCTCCGCCTCCCACGGAGCGATGACCCGTCGGTCGACGCCTCGTACCGAAGCAACGAGCACGGACCGAGCATCTCATCGCACGCGATCGAGGTGTCGCGGACTCGGCGGTTCGTGCTCGGACGGCTCACCTCGTTCCTGCACGTGCTGCCGCCCAAACCCATCCAGGTGTGCCTGCAGCTCGTGGAGGAGGTCTGGCGACGGATGGACGCGGGCGAGGCGGAGGCGTACTGGATGGATGTGATGATCGAGAAGGGGTGGGAGACCACCATGGGTTAAGGGGGGGGAGGGGGGGGTTATGTTGCACGAATTGACGATAGTCGATACCCTGTTTATCTGTAATGACTTTATCTTGGAGTGCGGGCTTGTCACTTATTGAACACTCCGGGCTACAACATATCAACATCTCAATACATCAATATGTATAATGATCTAGGGAAAGACAGAAGCACATACACATTCGTACCCTATCCACAGTAGATACAGCAATGCTCGCATATATCATCCAAAGAAAACCCAAGCTTATTCCACTCGGACATCACCGTCTACGTGACTCTTTAACATGAAGATCAACTAGAAACAGGTATAGAACATCAAGATAGTGACGGCAGAAGAAAGAGAAGAAGAAGAAAGGGTAATATTATACACAGAAATATGATGAGGAAATTAAGAGAAATCATGAATGATGCAAGGAGAGTCGATTAAATGCATGTAAGGTGCCAAATGGTCCGCTAGCCTTCAAGAAATGAAAAATGTCGTTGCAAGAATCAATAAGAGAAGATGGGATAGAATGCGAGGTGGGGTTCCTTATGAGATGGAGAGGAAAAAAAAAAAAAAAAAAAAAAGAGGAAAAGGAAAAGGTGGATGACGGGTTTAGACAGCGGCGCGCTTCCAGAATTTCCAGCCCTCGCGCTTCTCCTGGGCTCCGACGCCGACGAGGCGGTCGATACCCTCAGATCCCTCGGCGTTCTCGAACTTCTCTTGGTCGATCTCTTCGCCGCCCTCCTCGTCCGTGCCATTGCGGAGCACGGCCGGCCACAGGACACCGACGCCGTCGCCGCCCAGGGTCGTCTCGTAGCGGGTAAACCCCTCGGCGTCCAATTTCTGCTCCAGGTCGCGGATGGCCGCCGGGCTGGCGTCGGGGCGGAGGACGGTGATGGCGCAGCCGCCGCCGCCAGCGCCGGTCAGCTTGGTCCAGCCGATGTCGGCGAAGTCGACCAGCTCCCGGATGCGTTCGAGGCGGGGGTGGGAGACGCCCAGGGAGACGAGGCAGCCGTGGTTGATGCGGATCAGGGTCCCGAGGCGCTCGAGCACGTCGCTGGGGACGCTGCGGTCGGGCCCGGCGGATGAGGACTGCTGGATCAGGGTCTGGGCCGAGAGCGTGACCTGATCGATGGTGTCGAGGATGGACTCGGTGACGGCGGGGTGATCCCCCCGCAGGCGACCGACCTTGGCGACCTCGACGGCGGTGGAGCGGGATTGCCGCGTGTCGACCAGCAGCAGCGGCAGCTCGGGGAAGTTGAGGAGGGGTTTGACACTCGGGGGTTTGGAATAGTCCCCGCGGCAGAAGATGACGGCCTTGCCCCCCGCGGAGACGGTGTTGTCGACGCCGCTGGGGTTCCCGTGGATGCACATCTCGCCGACAAAGGCCCAGCGGTTGATGCGCTCGATCTGGGTTTCGGCCTCGTCGGGGGGCTGGTCGGGGTGGGGCCCGGCCAGGGTGCGGATCTGGAGCAGGAGGGCGGCGCTGAGGCAAACGCAGACGCTGCCGCTGCTGCCGAGGCCGGCGCCGATGGGGATGGTGGATCGCAGGGTGTAGACGGCGCCGGGGTGCTGGGGCGATCCCAAGGAGAGGAAGAGGTAGAGGAAGGCGGCGGCGGAGTGCCGGTGGATCTTGCGGGCGTCTTCGGGGGCATCGGGGGAAACGGGGTCGACATGGGGCTGGACGGCGTCGAGGAGCTCGGGATCGAGGGTGGTGACCAGATCGTAGTAATTTTTCTTCTTATCGGGGCGATGGAAGAGATCCCAGGGGAGGGCGTCGATGTCCCAGGTGTGGATCAGGCCAGTGTCGCGAAAGTTCAGGGTGATGGTCCGCTGCGACTTGGAGAGGGTGGTGACGAGGAGGTAGGATCGCATGGAGATGGCGGCGGCCATGGCGGACTTGCCGTGGACGACGGCATGTTCCCCATAGACGATGGCCTTTCCGGGGGCCGACACCATGAAAGGAGGCGCCATGGGTGACGAGGCTTTTCGCGACAAGGGGGGTTTTTTCGGGGGGGACTGACTGGACGCGGCGCTGCTCAAGCTGTCATTGCTAGGGGACGCCTTGGGGCGGAAGGAGAAGACCGGAGGCGACAAAGACATGATCTTTGTCTCTTCTTTTATAAGAATCGGTGATATCCCTTTGGTTGTCCTTTGTACCACGCTGACGAGGGGGAGGGAAGAAGAATGCGGCGACTCCGGGGGTTGGTATCGGTAGTCAGCGACCGGTCAGGGGTAGTCAAAGGGTTGCGGAAAGAGCGTGGGAGAGAGACAAATGTGGAGGAGAGGGAAGTGGGGAGAAATGGAGGGGTGTGGGGGGGGAGGAGGAGGGAACGAGAGGGAAAGATCAAGAGGATGAGGTGGAAGAAGATGAAGCTGAGAAGAAGAAGTAGATGAGGTTGCGAAGACGAAGTCACGCTCGGGATGCGCGAATTATGTGCATCACAAATAAGCCGGCCCTCGATCCCTATTCCCGATTCAGTTCCTCTCTCCCTCGTTCGACATGGATATCGATTAATTAATTAAAATTGCTGTCATCTTTTTCATCTTACTTTATTATTAATAATACTGATAAATAACTAATATATCGTTGCTGACAGGCGCCCGGGGCGGGGCTGACACCGTCCTACTACGGCCTACTCCCAGGCTTTGTTTACACCAGAGTCCAACAGACTACATTCGGCTCCTTGTGGGGTCACTTTCAATCTCAGAAGAGCAATCATTTCCTTGCCAGGATGGTGGTCGCATTTTCCAGGGTGGGACGAGAGAAGAGATGGTAGCCTAAATCGACCAATGTCTCTCGAAATTCTCCCCGCCATGGAGGACCAATTCCAGCATGTCCAGTCAGACGGCGGACAAGCGGCCTCTGGACTCCGATGTCGATCCCAGCCGGCTGACCGAAGAGACCGGGATGTATGCTATAAGGTCCATTGATTTTTTTCACCATGACCGCCAGGGGTTGTCTTCCAGCAATGTGAGATTTCACCTCGGAAGCGATCACCTGGGTACAGTCAAGAATCGGTCATGCTGCTCATTGGAAACGTCATATATTGTCCTTGTTCGTTCGGATGTGGCCTTGGATCAGGGACATACGGACTGTGGGTCTCGAAGGAGCCATTCCGTGATAGGAACGAAATCCAGTCTGGTGAAAACCCGCTATCAGCAGAGCAAATCACACCAATGCGAACTGGCCAGTAACGCTCCACTCGATGGTGCGGAAGGATTCGTCCGAAGCGTATGAGCTTCATGCGACTGAATCCTAGGGAAACGCCTGGGTGATGACGGCTGCACTAGAAAGAGTACAATGATACTACTACGTTGTAGTAGTAGTTCTAGATACTTGGGGGGGTTGTAATGCTGACATCAATGCGGCTGGAATTGTTTCAAGAAAATATAGAAGATAGGAAGCAAGAGAAAGACAGAAGAGAGAGAAGAGGAGAAAAAATGAAGAAAAGTCTTGTCTCAAGGTCCCAACTGTCATCGCCAACGCTTTTCATGGTTCGATTCCGATTCATCCTGACTTTCCTGATCTGTCTCTGGTCGATCATTCAATGTAATACTTTATTATATATCATCACCACACTGATGACAGGCACCCTCGTCATGCCAAACTCCATCCAAGGTCTATCGATTCGGCCCCACGGTCAATCCGTCGATCTATCCAGGTTGATCGGCGCACAGCTGGGTACCAGCCAAACAATCTCATGGACCGAAAAATCCTAAATTGATCTTGATCTCGGCAGTATCCCTGGGTCAGACTCAGACCCCAGGTCGGGTGGCGCTGGCTACCCGGCACTCTTCTTGGTGGTTCGGTGCAGTAACTTTCAGATCGTTTGGAACGTAGGATCAATTTCCCTGGCTCCAGATGAGAGGCGAGAATCAGGAACAGGACAATGCGATGACGATGGTTCCTGCATAGAATGGCAGGCAACCTTCCTGGGACGCTCGCCATCTCATCAAACGTCGCGGTGACGTGACAATGATTACTTTGATGATGTATACATATAACCAGTACGGTTCCCCCCCCCCCCCCCTCTTTCTAACATCGCACGGGCGATTCATATCATACGTTTTGATCCAAACAATCAACATGGTTCTGCCCATATACTTGTGGTGTATGCTCTGCGGAGGGGTCATCGATCAGGCTGGGAATCGCCTCGTTGAGGGAGCCCAGCCGGTCAACGATGCCCTCGACTACCGGCTCGTGGATGCCGCAGCGCTGGAAAACGACTATCTTTTGAATGACGACCATCAGTGGTGTGGGTTCCACCGCATAAGTGAGTACTGATCCTGTATCAATCGCTCTCCCTCGACCCCGCTGATGGTATCTCCAGTCACCCATGTACCAGACACCGACATTTACTATCTCTCGGGCATTGGATATCAAGCATATACCAAGCAGTGCGGTCTGTCCTGTTTCCGCGTGCCAATTGACCCCACCAAGGCCGTGATCGGCCTCGTCGAGCCTGGTCTGGACGGCTTTAGGGTTCATAATTGCTCCTACATCCCTCCCACCGCTGATGGTCATGCCCCGGGGGCGGACATTGGCTTCCCCATCCACATGCGGTGCTGGAGCTTGGCCAAGATCAAGCTGGGCCCGGCCGTGGAGCAGAATCTGGGCCTCTTCTGGACCGTCCTGCGTGACCGATTTGTCAGATTAATCGGAAAACTTGGCCTTCCCACCCCCATCACCAGTCTCGGTAGGCGTTCCAATCCCTTCTGTTGGTGAGAGAATAGGCCGGGCTGACGTTAACCTGTGATACCTGTTGGAGAGCCTTACAAGATCCCCGGAATCCTCCAAGCACTCTCCCAGAACCTTGCAAGAACGACAGTCTCCCCTTCCGCCAGTACTTTCCCATCTCGTCTCTCTTGTCTGCCGCAGGAGATCTACTGGCCCATCCTTGATTGCTTGGATTGGCAGAGCTTCGTGAACCTGAAGAAGGCCGTGGCATGGCCCGCGATGGGCGGGTACTGGCGTTGTCGCGCGGCTCTCCTCCTCGATGAGGATCTGGACCCCATTCCGGGACCGGAGCTCGACTGGGAGGCAATCTGTCTGGAGCTGGAGCGGTTGGACGAAGTGGACGGTGTCTTTTGCAATCGTCGTCGGATACTGAGAGTCCTCAAAGACTTCCAGGTCAATATGCAACAGCTCATATCCCGTCAGATGGACGTGTCATGATATCATTTTCTTCTTTCCCTAGTTCTATGAACATCAAGGATCCCCCACCCACCACACCCTATCAGGGCACGCGCAGCCACAGGAAGCATCAACTGATCATTACCTTGCATGATCATCATCCGGACCTACCTTGTCTCGTCTCTTCTACCTTCACTTGATCTATCCACTCCTTACTTCCCTGTCCCTAGTCACACCACTCTCCCCTTGTGACAACCATGCCTGCTATTTCAGTATCATCTATTATCTCGGGCCTTAGCCCCTTCCCTAGAATGACTTCCAGAAACCGAGCGAGATGGAAATCCCCCTCGGATTGAAGCCCTGGTGGATCTTGCTGGCAGTGTCCAGTCTGCAGTGGGGGACTTACTTTGGTAGTTCTCCAATCCGTTTCAATCACAGTATATCATGGTTTAACCGTGAGCCGTAGTTTACGATCTCCCCGCGACACTGTCCGTTCCGTTACAGCTCCACCTGGGACTGTCCGCCTCGCAATTTGCCTACCTTGTCTCCGCTCTCTACACGGCTTACTGTATCCCCAACACGATCCTGCCCTTTTTCTCGGGCTTTGCGGTCCATCGATATGGCGAGCGGTGTATCCTGCTGGCCACCGCAGCCAGCATCATCAGCGGACAACTCATCTTCTGTCTGGCCGTACAAACCGGAGTCTGGTCCGTGATGATCCTCGGACGAACTTTGGTCGGGTTGGGGGGCGAGGTGTCCACCGTGTTGGCAACGAACATCGCCACGCGCTGGTTCAGGTCGTCTATCTCCCCCTCTCTAGGCATTCCGTTTTTTTATAGCTAACAGCAAATCCGGCTATTCCAGGGACGGACAAATTTCTCTGGCCCTGGCCCTCATGACCGGAACCTGGCAGCTTGGTAGCGTCACCAACTCCATCCTAACCCCCCGACTAGTTCAGGCATACGGGGTCCTCTGCGCCAACTGGATAGGCTCCGCACTATCCATGGGCATCCTCATCCTAGCCACCTGCCAGCTCCTGACTAGCAACGCCGTAGCCGGACCACACGTCCCTGAGAAGCTCCTCGCCACAGACTCCCAAACGCGAGTAGGGACACCCTCCATTCGACAGTTCCCCCGAGTCTACTGGCAGATTGTCGTCGTCGCATTGCTCGGCTACGGAGGCATCAACACGTTCACCAACTCCGCGCAACGCTTTCTCGCCGCGCGCTTCTACCAAGGCGACCAAAGTGCCGCAGGATCAGTCATGGGGTACGTCGCCCCTTCACTTGCCTCAACAGACACAAGTCAGTCAACCTAACGAAGCTATCCCTCCCCTCCCGCATATTGGAAACAGAATCCCCCTCACCATCTCCTGCCTCTTCCTCCCACTGTTCGGCTTCCTCCTCGACCATCCCCACTGGATCGGCAACCCCCCCTCCGTTCTCTTCCTCGCCAACGTCCTCCTCGCCCTCGTCCACCTAAGCCTCCTCTCCAATATGTCTGCCCCCGTTCTCCCCCTCTGTCTTCTCGGCCTCGCGCTCGCCCTCTACAGCGCAGCCCTGTGGTCCGGCCTCGCGCGCTGCGTCCTCCAAGCAGATCCCACCACTGCACATCCACAGGAAACACCTCCAGACTCGCCCCTCCCAGACGATCGATCCGCCCCGAACGACTCCACTTACGGCACCTTCGCCCCGCCACATGACACGGACGAGTCCATCAACGCAGACAAGCCCGTCTCCGCAGGGGAAAGCGGCGCCACGGCCCTCGGGTACGGAATCGTAGCCAGCGTACTGAACACCAGCACCGCTGTCGTGTCTTTGCTGCTGGGGCTGGTTGAGACTGCGGCGGGGTTCGATGGGCTGGAGGTGGTCTTTGTGGGGCTGGCTCTGGCGGGCGCTGTGGCTTGTGTTTCGTTGGGGAGGGTGTGGTAAATACTAGAAGTTGATGGTGGGTGGGAGTGGTAGGTTTCATATTTACATATAGTATGAGGCTATAGGCTTTCTTCTTTCTTTCCTTTTGGCAGTTGGGGTTAGATTGTCGTTTTGTTTTTTTTTTTATTTTTATTTTTTTTTCGAGGACTAGAGCGAGGTATATATACAATTTGTACGTGGTGGATATTAGATTGGTGGTCAAGATTGGATATGAATAGCTGGGGTACTCTTTTGTTGTACCCATTACATACTTCTTCGCCTTTTTCTTCTCTTATTATATCATACTACAATAGAAGTAAGAAAGTTACACTAAATCAAAATTCTATATCAAACATCAACGCTAAACGGCGTCGAGTATATATACCACCGAAACACAAAAAGTATATACTTGCCTCTACGATATCTGCATCCAGCACGACATATATGTAAACGAAAAGTAAGTAGCAAATCGCAAATCACATCTCTAAACAAAATCATCACATCATCAGATATCCCATCAGAGATTCATCGTCACTGTCATGCTGTTACTATGCACCAACAAACAAGGCGGCAAGTCCTGCCAAAGCACGTCCAAATCACTCAGATACGACGCACTCGCTGACTCACTGCTGGCAGTGCCCTCCAGCGGCGACGGAAGCGTTGTGAAAATGACGGCCGTGTCGGCGCTGTGCGTCGCCATCAGCTCGTTGAGGATCAGATGCTGTGCTCGGCTGGGGAGGTCATTGAAGGAGAGGGGTATCGATGCTTGGCGGGGGTAGCCCGATGCGGATGCGGATGCTGATGCTGTGGATGGGCTGGATGAGGACCGCCGCGCGTAGATCGAGTCGGCCCGTTTGCGGGTTGAGGGCCGAGGTGGCGAGGAGCTGGCGGCGAACATGATTGATGGACCGGCGTTTTCTTCGGATTCCGTGTTCACGTGGGCTTCTGGGATTGGCGACGAGCTGAAGCGGTTGGTGGAGGAGGGTGAGCGGTGGATTTTGGGCCGGGAGTGTGGAGAGACGGGTGGACTTTTGGGGGAGGCGTCTTCGCCGGTGGTGATGATTGTTGGGATGTCTGCTCGCGGAGACGCCTCTTCTTCGCGCGGTTCGTTTGAGGGACTTGGTTGTGCCGGTGGGCTTGGTTGCGGAAGAGGCTCGGGTGGGGTGCTTCCTGCATCTTTGGCGCTTTCTTCCTCGCTGTCGCTGACGTAGGGCTCAAAATCATTATCCTCGCTGCTGTCGCTGCTGCCATTGCTGTCGATTTCATCGTAGTCCACGAACGCATCGAGTAGACGATGTGTCTGCATGCCCAGGTTGACGCTCCCGAGTCCCTTGTGACTGGATATGGAACGTCGGCGCCGGTCACCATGAATGATGCGCTTCAGCTCATCGGGCAGCTGGCTAGCTGCTTTGTTTTTGCTTTCCAGGCTGGAAGGGCCATGCCAGCTAGGGGGTCTGTCAGAGAGCAGTCCACTCCAGCGCGGTTGGTGTTGCCTATAGCGCTCGGGTGAGCCTTTGCGGGCCTCGAGGAGGTCCTGCCACCAATCTTCGTCTTTCAAGGCTCCATGAACCCGGTCCCGCATTCGATCCGACTCTGGGGTGAGATCACCATTGACAATCACTCGGTATGCCATGATTTCGCCGCATGCAAGCCAGAACACCAGTACCTCGGCCTCGATCCGGAGTTTTTCGAGGAGAGCCTCGACTCGTCCTCGCTCGTCGTCCACGTCTGTCTCGTACTCGACAAAGACCGCCACGCGCAGCTTGTACATTTTCTTCCAGGACGGCACCGTGTTGAGGATGCAGCCCAGCTGGAGGATCAGAGTGTATGTGTCGAAATTCGTAGTCAAGACATTCTTTTTGCTTTCGTGGTCGGCCCCCAGGTCCGCAGACATTTGAATAGGCCACAGATCGATGTATTTCTTCATGTGCTGTCCTTTTGGACCGGGTAGCTCGAGGTCTTCGAATCCCTTGGCCACGGCGACGTTGATACGTAACTTGAACAGGAGATCTTCCAGAATCGTCACGTAGCTTTGGCAGTTTATCTGAGGTTCAGGTGCGTCGTGCCCAGGGGTCTCCGGGGTGCAATCCCGCCAGCTCCTTCTGCCTACAGACGACTCTCTTCGACGACCCGAGAGCTGGAGATCTTGTCCCAATGACTGGCCTTGGCGGTACTGATCGATGACCACAATGTTGGGTCGCATGCCTCCCAGGCCCGAATTCAAAACCATGTTCCGGACCCCCCACTCGGCGGTCGGAGCCACAGCGATATTGACAAAAGCCTTGACTTTCAAATTCTCGACAAATCTGGTCCACGATGTTTGCAGTCGACGCGCTTCGGGCACCGCCGCAGAGAAATCATCCGTCACGACCACGTGGCCGAGCATGAACAAAGCTCCCTTCTTCAGGGAGTTGCAAAAGGACACCATCTTGAATTGGTCGTCAATGTTGGTCACTAGAAGTAGAATCTGCGGGCGCCAGAACTTGACGTGCTCCTGCTTCAGGCGCAGCAGGTATTTGCGCACTTGGTGGTAGATCAAACTCTGGCTGACATCACCCCATGGCTTGGGGGGCGAGGTATAGTGAATCAGAAGGAAAAGCACTATCAAAATTCCCACACAGCCGGTGGCATACACGCCGTCCACGAAGAACATGCTCGCCCCACACACCAGCGTGCCAGCCGCTGCACCCTGCCATTTGAAGTAGTGGAAAGACGGTCTGAAATTGGGGGCAGATCCGACCTTCAGGAGAAAGCAGGCGAGGTTAGTTACCAAGAAAGTCATCAGATACGTCATGGTAACAAAGGATGCAATTTGATTGATGTCAAAAAGCATCGTGAGCTGGGCCACCACGAACGTGACGATGATCGCGTATACGGGCTCATCATGCTTCTCCGTCCCTTTGCCGAAGACCTTTAGGCCAGGGAGCAAGCTGTCTCGTGCGATGGCTTGCAGCAACTTCGCGGAGCCAATGACACCCATCAGGGAGGAGAAAAAGGAGGTCGCGAACTCCCCCAGCAGGATGAGCACCCCAGAAAGATTGGCCTGATACTTTGTCGGTGAACGTGTCTTGGTGGGCTTGCTAAAGATGACTCACCACTTGCACAATATTCGCATTTTTATAAAATGACTCCCGCGTAATCGACGCAGCCATTGCAAGGATTACAATGGTATACATGATAAATGTAAGGGCTAGCCCCGAAAGCGTCCCCTTGGGTATTGATTTGCTAGGGTTCTTCAAATCACCAGACATACTGGCTCCACTATACTTCCATTAGAGTCTGCTATCGTCCGGCGAACCGTGTACTTACGCGAAGATACCCCCGGTAGCGGGGAACAAAATCCCAAAGAGGTCCTGGAAGTTTTCTCTCCCCTCTCGTTGGCTTCCCGCCGCCCCCTTGGTGAGCCTCGGCTTGAGGTTATCCACCAATGTTCGTAGGCGTATCCCCGTAAAATGGACCCCAAGCTTCGGGATGCTAAAAGGCTGCATGAAGATGGCGGACACCGGGATGCTCAGTGTCGCCACCAACAGGACAATCAACAGTCCATTGCTGGCCCGTGAAAACATGGAGCTACCGGCCAAGCAAATCCCCGTGCACAGGACCAGGACAATGGTACTCCAGAGGTACTGCCAGAGAAAGCCTTCCTGGAGGAAGTTGGCCCATGTACCGGATTCGGTTCCAAAGTTCTGCGTGAAGCAATCCACAAGACCGACAGCGTTCATGCCGGTGTTCAGCACGTAACCCAGGTAGAATACGATGCCAATCGAGCCCCCGAACTCCGGCCCTAATGACCGAGAAATCAGGTAGTAGGCACCACCTCCTCGAACCGTTCCGTTGGTCGCGATCGCCGACAGGGACATGGTGGTCACCAAATTGATCGTATACGAGATGATGAGCAAGCCCAAGATTCCCAGGACGCCTGCCTGTCCCAAAACAAAGCCGAACCGCAAGAACATCAGAATGCTCAGGACATTCAGGGTCGTGGGGACGAACACGCCAGAGAAAGTCCCCAGCTTGTCCACACCATCCGAACCGCGGCCTCGCTGGTCGTTTCGCTCCTTTGGGTTCACGCTGGCATCTCGGAGCGGCCCTGGCGGTCCGTTTGCACGAACTCTATCCCTATCACTCGTCTCGTTGGATCCCCTGTCGCTGGTCGACCAATCCCACCATCGTGAAACCTGCCCCCAAAAATTTGACGGAAGCGAATGACGGTGACCCGCCGGATGGCGAGATGAACCCACCGGTTCGTATGGTCGAGCGAAAGCCGTCCTCCAGTTGGGGAACCGAAAGTTCTCCTCGGGGGAGGCATGCGCGGAGTCGCTGGGAGCCAGTCGGGACTCATCCTCTGCGGCCGCCCGCGTCGAAAAATTCGGTCGTTTCCGAGACACGGACTGTGAGCCACTCTCATCATGGATCCCCATCATCGAAAAGGACGATTGAAGAATGGACCGAGATCTTCTCTCAGAGGACCCGAACCGACTTCACACAACCTGTCGCAGGTATAGGCGGAATAAACATGGATTTGCTGAGCGGTAAACGACCAGGAAAATAACTGTCGGAGGATAGAAGTGGATAGCGACCTAATCATGACATGGGGTCGAGATAATCGATCCCGATTCAATCAATCCACCAGGGAAATGAAACGCGGTGCGATCGACGCGCCGATGACCTCACTTACTCACCCGGGCACGTGTGGAGAGTCAAACAGTGCAAAATGCCTCCAGCTGAATCTCTCTCGCTCCTTTCAGCTTCTTCTCGGCACGCTTCATTCAGCGGTTGTTTTCGTCTCATCCAGTTTCAGTACACTTCCTGCTATTTGATCGCTGATAAGGGGTCGAGACTCGATAGTTCATCAATCCACACCACGGTGATCCCCGATTCGCCTATCTCGCCCCCCCTTACTCACCGGTTTCTCCCCCCGATCTCCACCCATTTCCCACTGTCTCCGCACCGGCAATCACTTTTAGAGCGAGATCCCGGAATCTTAACGAGACCCTCGAGTCTCCCCTCAAGCCATCACTGTTTGGGCTTCTTTGGATGATTTATTCTGGTCGTTACCAACATGGCTTCATCACCAGCTCCAGAGAATGGGGAAGGTCCCTCTACGCAGCCCCAGCGGTCAACACCGATCTCAACCAGTGCCTCTGCGAGTGGTTTTCCCTCTGGGTCTCCAACGCCTGACGCTTCGGCCAGACAGGTGTCGATCGCTCGATTAGCCTCCCCGGTTCCTTCGCCATCAAATGCTTCGGCCCCCAGGCAGTCCACAATTCCCGTTCAGGCCCCGACGAGCGCAGAGCCAAAGCTCCAAAGGATCGATGACCCATCGTCTCTACCAGGACCCGGACAGTCAATGATCGCATCGGGTCTCCAGGACAGTCTTGGACGCTCACCACCCAGGTTTGGAACTCCGCCTCGACGCGCGGCATCGCCCGCGGTGTCGCACACCCCGCCCGTCAGGTCCATCTATGGCTCGCTTGACAACAACAACAACAACAACAACAACAACAACAACAACGCTGATTCTGAGTATTCGGTGGGCCCCTATGAGGATCCTCAGGTTGTGAGGAGGCATCTGGTGCAACCTCAACTAGGAACGGAGGGCCGGAATCTTCAGTCCTCGGGGGCGGATGTCACCAGCAATGCGGACGATGAATTTTCGAGCTTGCAACTACAGGGTGGAGACATCACGCGACAGGTCTACAAATGGGCGGAAAACGCGGAGGAAGGGGGTTTGGGGCAGAAGAACGCCCGTAGCAAGAGTTTCAGTCTCGATCGACCGATGCCCCAGGATGATACGATGAACATCAACACCATCCGCGTCCCGGGAGGATTCCGGAGAGACTACCTGCGGCGAGCGGTAGGTTCCCCTCAGCCTGGAGCTGCCGATGGACCGGAACTGCAGTCGCAGCAGGGTCAGCCTCAATTACCCACCAGTAGCTTCCTGGAGTTTTTGACCCTTTTTGGCCACTTCGCGGGTGAAGAACTGGAGGAGGACGATGAAGTCCTGGGGCCCAACGAGTACTTCTCCTCGGGGACTTGGGAGGAAGGTGCCGACGAACCTGGGGAAACGTCCGCTCTCCTCCGTCCCGGAACCGCTGGCAGGCGGATACGCAAGCCGCGTGGGGGCACGGGAAATACCACCCGGACTGGCGCAGCCCTCCTGTTGCTCAAGTCTTTTGTTGGGACGGGGGTGTTGTTCTTGCCCCGAGCTTTCTTGAACGGAGGGATGCTCTTCAGCAGCATGGTCTTGCTTGGGGTGTCCCTGCTCAGTTTCTATGCTTTTATCTTGCTGGTGAACACGCGACTCAAGATCGATGGCTCGTTTGGCGACATCGGTGGCGCGCTATACGGAAAGCACATGCGGCGGATCATCCTCGGTTCGATTGTGTTGAGTCAATTGGGATTTGTGTCGGCGTACATCGTGTTCACGGCGGAGAACTTGCAGGCCTTCGTCCTGGCTGTGAGCAACTGCAAGTCATTCATCGACATCAAGTTTATGGTGTTGATGCAGCTGGTCATCTTCCTGCCCCTGTCGTTAATCCGAGACATTAGCAAGCTGGGGTTCACGGCCCTAGTCGCCGATCTTTTCATCTTACTGGGGCTGATCTATCTCTACTACTACGATTTCCTGACCATCGCAACCCAGGGTGGCATCTCCGACATTGTTTCCTTCAACCCTTCCACGTGGACCCTTTTCATCGGAACGGCCATCTTTACCTACGAAGGTATCGGCCTCATCATCCCGATTCAGGAGTCCATGAAACGTCCACAGCAGTTCCCTGGGGTTTTGGCGGGAGTGATGGTGATCATCACGATCATTTTCCTTTCTGCGGGAGCCCTCAGCTACGCGGCGTACGGATCTACCACCAAGACCGTCATCCTTCTTAACCTCCCCCAAGACGACAAGTTTGTCAATGCCGTCCAATTCCTTTACTCGTTGGCTATTCTCCTGAGTACACCGCTACAACTGTTTCCGGCCATCCGAATCATGGAGAACGAGCTCTTCACGCGCAGCGGAAAGTACAATCCCAGGATCAAGTGGCAGAAGAACGGGTTCCGTTTCTTCCTGGTCATGATTTGCGCCTTCGTTGCCTGGGGCGGAGCCGAAGACCTCGACAAGTTCGTCTCGCTAGTCGGCAGCTTTGCCTGCGTTCCACTGATCTACGTCTATCCCGTGAGTACAGTAACCCTTCTATTGACATTCATGCATCATCGAACTAACGCAATGTTCCTCCTCTTAGCCTCTCCTGCATCTTCGAGCCTGCGCTCATTCCAGAAAGCAGCAGATCGCCGATATTGCCCTGACCATCTTCGGGGTGGTCTCCTGTGTCTACACTACCTCCCTCACCATGGCCAACTGGGTAAACGGGGACAACACCAAGGCGCCCGGATACTGCGACTCGCAGTGAATCCTTGATCCCTACAGTCCTGATCTTTCGCTCGCGCTGGTCCTTCACCCGCAGTAAACTTGAATTATTTTCGGATAGAAACGCATACTTGTATGAATGACTGATGCTACGCTGCACCATCCTTGATCATTTCTCTTGTTTTTTTTTTTTTTTTTTTTTT